TATTTGGTTACGAATATGTTCTAATGCACTCAACAATATTTTGCAGGGGACTTTGCATCGAGCAGATTACAATTTTTGAAAGAGAATTTTCAGGTTCCCTCAATTTTGGAATTTTTGGAAACAAAACCAGACCACAACACTGGGAGCTACGTTCCCTACATTTTGTGAGAAATACGTAAACTCATGGACGTTTCCTGCAAACCAGCACAGAGGAGATACAGGAGATGGGGCCTACGGTGTTTCGTCTTTACCCGAGAAGCTTAAGACGTCTAACCCGATCTGGAGATGTCATAGCTAGCAAAGACAGCACGTCCTATTCAGTTATTTTTAGACCCTGACTGTTGATTCGGTCTGGGGCAATAATATTTTCCTCTTTTACTCACACAGACTCTAAATGACATGAACTTAACTATGAGCACGATTAGCCCCTGAGCCCACATAGTTCTTGCCAGTCAGACACATTTGAACAAAATCTTAACTCTACAAAGAAAGAGCACTACGCTTCATATACACTGACAGAGCCCTGCGCTTCATATACACTGACAGAGCCCTACGCTTCATATACACTGACAGAGCCCTGCGCTTCATATACACTGACAGAAACTGTCATTCTGTTTCTCTCTTTATCGACGCTGATGTTTTACCTATAAACTTTCTATACTATGAAGTCATTATTATCTTATTTCATGCTTGACATGGCTAATGTTTGAGACTACGAGAACTTCCTCCTTTTCCGGGTAAATTCCGTGGCGCGAGTCAAAGAAAAAAAAATAGAAACGGCGAAGAAAAAAAAAATTAATGTTAGCGCACCGTGCGGAACTCTGGGACTGAGGCGCACATAAAAGTAGTACACGCCTTTTACGTGCGCCTCTGTCCCAGATTTCCGTGCGGCGCAATAACATCGCATTTTTTTTCAGTGATTTTTTTGTTTTTGACTCGCTTTTTTGGCCACTAATAATTGTGTTCCATCTAACATCTTGCAGGAATTCACCAACGCATTGGACGCAAACATTCATTCTCATTCTCGTAACACGCGATCTTCCTCCTCAAAAAATGAACTTGTCAAAAAATAAAAAAATGCCTTATCTACCATGAATATCAAGCTTTGGAATGAGTGAGTATCCTGCCTAAGAGACCCAAACAAGAAAATCTTTTTGGACAAAACTCCATGATATTTTGTTTAGCATCCTGGCAAACAAAGTCTATAACTTAAATACTAAAATTCTAACACTGAGGTGAATAGTGGTACAATCGAACCTATATTGAGCGGTACTGTACTAAGCGGTCACTCCGTATTTAGCGGTAGGTTTTCAAAGTTCCTAAAATGTTTCCTTTACCTACTGTCATTGTACTGTAAGTAAAATTTAATCCTGTTTATCCTCTGAAATCAATGTTAGTAGTACGTTTTAGCGAGTTTTTGTACATTAAGTGATCAATCATGGCATAGAATGATGTTTTCATCGTTTTCTATTATACCCCTATACTGGGGAAGTTGTATCAAGCGGTTATGTATTATGCATTTCTCCGCCATCCCCCGGATGATCGCTTAAAACTGGTTAGAATGTTTTAGTAAATACAAAAATAGTGGATAGCGTTGAAGGCGCGCTTCGATTATCCTTTGTTATTAATTAAAATTTCAACTCTGAATATTGTATTTTCTAGTGTCCTGATTGGTTCACCTTACTCCGGTTATCAGCACATATTCAGAGTTACATTACATGGAAATGCATTACGCCAATTTTGCGGAGCTAAAAAAACTCCATTTATCAAACCGTTCAGGATTTAATGAAATTTGATAAAATAACTAGTCCATTCGCACTTGTTGGGTACCAAATTGACTATTTTTCACCATCTCAGATCCAACGCACGCTTATGGAATAATTGCTAACAGGAGCCCGGGGCTCCTGTTCCTAAACATTAACCTCCGAGCAACTCGCGCTGGATTTACACGCGAAAATATTTTAATCTTTGCAGGTAAAAGTGAATTAAAATCATCTTTTGGAGCTGTTTTAGTATATACTAAAACAGTGGGATGTTATAGCTCAGTGTCGGTGGTTAGCGGTGAATATTTACGTTGACGCTTCGCGGCTCGGTAAATATCCACCGCAAGCCACTGAGGTATATAGTAGTTGACTATATAAGTTATCACCTGATATTTTCCTTTTCGACATATTTCTTGGTAGTAAAATTTGTTTAATATTTTAGTAGTTCACGCAACTACTTAAGATTAAATATGACCCGCGTTAGACTAAATGTAGCTATTTGCGGGTCAGCCAATGTAATATTGATTATCTGAAAATGTAAATAAAAAAGTGTGTCGATGAGAACAGATGAAAGGTTAAGGACTCTGTGGTAATCATGATACAGAAGTAAGAGGGAAATTTTCATACCTTCTGCAGGTCTTCATATTTAAGGAACAGAACGTCAGGATCATGTCTGTGCTTCCACCATCCAAGAACATGATCACTCCATTTGTTGTAAACTGCTGATTAAAGGGAATTTATTCGCCTCATATGTACTCAAGCTGAACGGCAAAACAAAAGTTTTACACGTATTGACAATAATGAACATAGTTCCAGCGGGGAGCAAAGGATTTCGTTTATTACCTGATTCACGGATCAACGCTGGCGCACGGAATAACTAGTATTTAATTAAGGAAAAAGAAAAGGAAAATAAAAAAGTTTATCAAACTGATAGGCTGCGGTGCTGGCTTATTATTTGGGCGAGTTACCGTTAAGAACCTCGTGATTGTGTATTTAACCGGCAATGCTTGATCCTGGAAGTAAAGGCGGCGATAGGGGGGAGGAGGCTGTGAAAGGTCTACCATGGCTAAGGTTCTCCTCCGTGATCGAAATAAACGCAATTTAAAAACATTTCATGTACTTACTTTTACCCTCGATAAATAGTTTCGCATAAAATTCCCATGGTGCATTCATTCCGTTTGTGCCAAAGCTACCCATAAATTTATAGCTTGAGACTGCAGCATCCTTGGGGTTGCGGGCGACGTAGATATATTTACAGGTTGTCTTGGCCTCATCTGTACTCTTTGGAATCGCATCATAAGACAGGTGGCTCTTAAATAGACGAGGGCTCGGCATACTTTTAATATCAAGATGAGTTGATTCTGGTAATAAAGCTTTCTCTATGTACAAGACGCGATCTCCAAGAACTTTATTACTGATTTCGCCATCGTGGTAAATCTGCCAGACAATTTCTTGAACCCAAGTGGTCCCTTAAATTAAAAAATACATCGAGACAATTGTGTTGCCAGCAACGTCGGGTTTAAGATTATTCACAAAAGCTCTGGGCAATATTTGCGTATGCAATGCTTGGATAAATGAGAACAACGGCGAAAGCGATAAGATACTTTTGAGAATGCAGCTTTTCAAAGAATAGTATGGGATTATTCGAAAATCTTTCCAAGCTCTGAGTCATACACTATTAAAAATTAGCTCACCTGACTTGGGGTAGCTGACAATAAATACATCATCAGATTTCGTCTGAAAATTAGTGATGAAGTCGCACAGCAACTCAGGACCTTGAGAGCCATACACAAAAAACGCTGGAATTCTAAAGCCTAGGATTTCAATCATTTCATTGGAGGTCCATTCCCCCTCACGTTCCTGAATGATCGGGTAAGACGCCATACTGTTCAGGAATTACGCCGAAACTGAGCTACGGGAAATTTCGAAACGCGAAGGTGTCATTTGTTCGACACTTCAGAAAAATTTCCGTTATAACATCGCACTTCATTATTCATGCAATTCTTTAATGAAAAACGATGGCGCCCCACATGGAGTAAGGCGTTGTTTTAGAAAAGGCAGAATTCTTCCTTTAACTTAGCGCAGGTGGGGTCGCTAGTTTTATTAATGAGTCACCCAAACATTCAATATCCATCGCAGCAAATTTTTATACGTTGTAGAATTTAAGGAAGACGCTTGATTAGTGTACTGATTCGCAATAACATTTATACTATTTTATTTATTTATTTTCCACAAAACATTACCTGTAATTTAAAGGGAGGCTATCAATAATTACTGAAGGATTGAAATATTACAGTCAGTTACATATCAGAAAACAACGCAAGTCTGAATGAGGCTAGGAACAAGGTAGAAGTGTTTTAAAATTTGGGTCTCTCAGACGATAAATCATCGTACTAAGATATGTATTAGTCTGTATTGCACTTGTGATGAACTCATATGAGACTGATTTAAAAAATAAATTAATCATATCGAATTATGTCGCGCGTTTTTGAGAGAGTGTCCACGAGGGAAACAGGTGGAGACTGAAATTTGACCGCAATTACCCCACAGCACATGCGATTAATAAGGGTAATTGAACCGCTCATTCGATTTGAAATCACAAGTATGAATTCAAACCAAAATTGCACGACATGAGGTTCAATTACCATTTTATTACATCCATTTTGAAATCACCCAAATACGGGACTTGGTAAGTTAAAACATTTTATTGATGCAGTACCGAGCCGGTTAGAAATTAAATTCATCCTTTTTTTTTTGAGAGGGGGGGGATGAAGAATAAGAGTTTTGGAAACAAAAGTTGCAAAATTTGCGACGATACTCTTTGTCTTTCATTTTCCTGCAATTAAATTGGTTACTTTAAACAATCCTTGAAATCTGATTGGTTGTTTTGTTTTTAGTGTAGCCCCCTCATTGGCTGGGGAAAAGATGCGATTTAAAGCAAAAAATGGTGCGATTCGTGAATGAATCGCACCAATTAGAGCCAATCAGATTACAGGGACCACCAGTGATTTCAGAATGGGTGTAACAAATAAACAAACTAGGCTGTTCATAACTAATAATGTTCTGAGATTTGTTTTAAATTTAATAAGAATTTAGTTATGCAACGTGGGTCTATTAAATGACTATGGATTATCCAGAGACGTATCTTAGAAATAAGTCATTTCTTTTTCTTAATTATTCAGTATTCCACTAAATGGTTAGGGAATATTCGAGACAGACGCGCGATTTATGTAGGCGCGAGTGATTTAGGACCAGCACACGCGAGCGAGGCGTTCTCCCTCGTGTCGCGTGTCACTCATATTCTCGCCAAATGTCTGCTTCACAGGCCACTTGAACATCAGTTTTCATTCTGAAACATTCGTTCTCCGCAAAATTATTTGGAAAGAACATGGTATTGTTTATAGAGATTATATCTCAAATTCAAACTCCAATCCGCTTCCATGTAATTTTGCCAACACTTCCCGCTCAAATCTCTCAGTTAGCTCTGGAGTAAAGTAATTATTCGAGTCTCCTACCACGCCTTTTCGTAGCAGCGAAGTCCCACCATCGCTGAACGCGTAACTTGAAGCATTTTTCTTCATTCCACTGAAACTGCACTGTTTAGCAATGCGACAGAGGACATCCTCTGACAGCGACTTGTTGAGGAAGTTGGCGATTATTCTAACATGGGAAAGAAGATCCTAAAGCAGATTTGATCACATTTGTTTAAACAAGTTTTTAATACAAGTTTTAAACAAGTTTTAAATAAGAATAGCAAATTACTCACAAATTCTCTTCCCCATTTGTAGCAGAACATCGCAACACACTTGGTACAATTTGGTCCGTTCGCGTAGTTACTCTAAGTCGACCTAGTGCAACCTAGTGCGACACACTGTGCTGTATCGTGACAAAGTGCCGACCACAGGCGCAAGTGTCATGCGACAAAATATTTTTCTCGATCAGCAAAAAATTTTCTGGATTTTGGAAAGATTCTTAGATTGTAAATTATTTTCGATTTTCATAAAAGTTATTTGTGGATGTATAAATTAAACCATGATTTGAAACTGTTTTCTCGATTTGACAAACTTTTCAAAAGCGATTTGTCAAAAAGATATCGATTCTTAATATTTTTTGGGATTCGCAAAATATTTTTGGATTTTCCTCTTTCGGTTTCCGTAATAGGGTCTTAAATCATATTTTTTTTTTCAATCGGTTCCTTAAATTAGGAAACAAACTACGTGAACTAGCCTATCTGAATTTAAATCACTGTAACGATTTAGGAGCCAACAAACCTTGTGCATATCTTCATATTTGAGAAACAAGATGTTCGGATCATCTTTCTGCTCCCACCAGCCCAGAACATGGTCATTCCAATGGTTAAATCCAACTGATTATAACATAGAGAAAAAAAATTTCATTCAGAACAAGTATTTCCATTTCAAAGTAAAAAAAGAAGTTGTTGTTCCTGTTCTTTGCGAGTGACTTACAACAAGGGTCAAAAGTCCCAAGGACAGTTGCCAAATACCATCCCATAATTTCTTGACTCCATAGATCTATGTCTAAACTTTTCTGCTATTTCTGCCACAAATTACTTAGAATTTTAGCTCTGAGAATTTAAAAGCTATAAAAGAAAAAAAAAGTATTGATATTTCAAGACAAAATTCCTGTTTGGTCACTCTTGGCAGGGTGTGTATAACAAACCCTCCTGTACTCCTTTATTGTCTAGAAGTAAATTCTTCCTTTTCAGTTGGCTAAAATCCAAATGAAAGAAAATTTGAGTAAAAAATTTCTTCAAATCTGCTAATTGAACACCAAGACACAAAAGTGATCTGAAATATGAACTTCACAAATAGGCAGAAGAAAATTTCAGTAGGTAGCAAAAAAAGACTCAGGTGTTACACTATTCTCCTAAACAAACACAATGAACCTAGTTAAGTGTGTTCTCCATAGTTCAGAGGTAAGAATTGGAGTGCACAGCCAAGAAAAACATGAACATTAACAACTCTCTTTAAATTACAGCAAACTTCAGTTTCTTCAATCTCACCATTTCCTTCAATGAACAGCTTGGCACAAAATTCCCAGGGTCCACTATATCCATTTCCAATCAAATTTGAGCTTGTAATGAATTTGAAGTATGACACAGCAACATCTTTAGGATTGCGAGCAATGTAAATATATTTACAAGTGGTGTTATTGCTTGCACCTTTGGGAATAATTTTGTAAGGTAAGTGTGTCTTAAAAATGCGAGGACTTGGCAAAGAGTTGATCTCTGAAACTTGTATTGGAAAGTGTGGCGAAGTTAGAGTATCTAGGAATGCAATTCTTTTAGAAATTGAGTCACTGTTCACTTCTCCTCCATTAAAGATCTGCCAAACAATCTCTTGCACCCAAGTTGTCCCTAAACAAACAAAAGCAAGTTTATTTCAACTGTAGTGGATAATTGATACAATTTATTACAGTGCAGAGATATATCAATAAGGTATGAGAGAAGACTTTAATTATTACGAGCAAAATGTTAACAAGGCTGAGGAAGCTGGAAAAAAGTTTTTGAAACTAGTTGATAACAAAACATGTTTTGTGAAAAAAAAAACTATTACCTTAATTTTGCAAGACAACAACAAGTCCCTAATAACAGTTTTCTGATTGGAATTTTTAAAAATTAACAAAAGATATGAATAAAATGATAATAAAGGTAAATAAAAGTGATAATAGGGGGGTTGTAGTCTCCTATGCAGTTGTTTGTTCAAATTTTATGCAATAGGCCTCCCCTCCCATCCACCCCCTCCCCCCTTAGGAAACAGCTGCTCACATCTATGATCCACTTAACTGATTTTAGTCTCCTTTGCCACCGTTGTTTGGTTTTGTCAGAATACCATACTTACATCACTATCAGTATTTACTCTCCTTATCATTTCACCTATTTTCTTGTGAGAGAGAACGCGCTGCGTGACAAGATCAAACAACTGCAGCGAAGGAGACTAAACTGATAGCGTGATAGTCCCGAAGGTAAACCGTTGTTGAAGCCATTGGTTTTTTATTACCAAGTAAATGTTTGCATCATGAAGCATGAAAATCCTGTCCTCAACAAGTACCAGGCAACATACAACATCTCGTTTATAGTTCCTCACCTGACTTTGGATAAGACGCCACAAAAACATCGTCCGCTCTCGGATGGAAATCCGAGATGAAGTCGCTAAGTAATTGTGGATCGGTTGTGAAATAAGATGGAATTTTCACTCCCAAGACTTCGAGGAAGTTTCGTGACCTCCATTCCCCTTCTTTTACTTGGATTACTGGAAAGCTGGTCATGATTTCGAAATACTCTTAGCACTTTAGTTAATATTGTGTGCAGCACGAACGATTACTATTTTGCCCAAACTAGAAGAGCGAAATCTGGGGAGAGCGAGGGGGGTCTCTCAAGAAAATCTAGAATGGCCCTGAAATATGGGATGCTAGGACTGTGAATTGCTCATTATTAATAGAGGAAACTGACGCCTTTAGCTAAAGGATAACTAATAATGGGAAAATAGCTCAGATCGTAATAAGTTTAGTTTGAACTAACATTTAAATCAAAGTCAAAGACTGCAGTAGGTGACGTATATCAGGAACGACTTTGATTATTTTTAGTACAATCAAAACCATAACAAAATTGTTGAACGTGATTGGTTCTCATCAGCCCAATTTGAGCACTAATAGTATAGGCGTCATACTTGTAATCCGACAGTGTAATTCAATGTAATAGAACAGTTTGACACATCATGCCTGTGTACGTGGAAAGTACACGTCATTTGCGCACGATGTTGTCGCGCACGTCGCCGAGTTAACTTTTGTTTTTTGTTCCATGAAAACATATTACCCATATCTTATTTTTTCCTCGAATTTTGTCATAGTTTTGATCAATTGGCAGCAGGACTTCGTGTCGTCCAATTCTGCCTGTGATCATGCTCATGATTAACAATGCATGCTCTCAGATGGGACTAACATGGCTCTTATCAACCTAATCCCATTGGATTTATTCCACAGAAATCAAGACACCAAACGGAATTTTACCATCAAGGTTAGTACACACAAATACAACAAAAAAAACCGATATTTTGTCAATGTTACTGCAACTAAGCTCGCTCCAGCAACCGATTAGAAACAATATGTTCATTTTTATCTTATCAGCTGAGAGCATATTTAAATGTAAAAAAAAAATGTCGCATACATTAACTCTGCAACGATTCCTGTCTAATCATTTTGAGAACTCGATACTGGAAAACAAGCTAAATATCGTTCATTGTTTGGTAAGTCATTTCAGTCAGTATTTTGTAATTAAGAAGCATTGTCTTGAGAAATTGACAAAACCCTACGACTGTAATTCAAGATCAAACTGATCTTCTGTATTTTCCATGAAGACGATGGTAAATTGACTGTCTCACTATAAATTATCATTAATAGTTCGGAAAAAGTGCTTCTCTCAAATGCGGAAAGTTTGGGAAAGATGGATGATAGTGCGGTAATCCCGCAGATAAAATATTTTAAAAAATTGTTCAAGTGTAGGGTAGGAGGCACATCAGCAATGTGAAACGGAGTTGGACGTCAGGCAATCATCGATAGCCTGTTTTGGGGCCAGACAGTTTTAAATGTAGATGTCGGAGACTTTGATTCGTGCGTGACACATGTCAGATGATGAGTGCGAACACTATGGACATTGAATGGTTTACATAATCAACGCAACCTTGAATGACCCTTTTAAATCAGTACTCGGCAACAACCAATCAAAATGTAGAAAATATCGTATAAGAGAGTGATTTCTTACAAATTTTGCAGAGTAGCTTTTTACACACCTGATGTAAATAAGCGAATACGAGAGCGAAATAAAACAGTTTAATTGAGTCTCGTTCGTCAGAGTTCTATCCCTAGTAAACAGGACAAAGTTTACAAAATAGATATCCTTCATTCATAAAACACTTTCGATCAATGCATCTTGCGAAGGTTTTCGACAGATACACTAAAACGACCGTCCAGTAATCAGGAAGAAATTACAAGCACCGATGAAATATAGAAACAATCAAAACAACTGGTTATGGTGTAGGTGGGAGGAAAACAAAACTCTCTTGGAAGCTAGTGTTTATCTTGTTGCATGCAATTGCTTGCTTGACCGCTAATAACACGTGCACATATACCTAAATGGTAATATGCTTAAGTTATTTCGCAATTAAAACGCGTTAGCGTGGTGCCTAGCCACTGGTTCTATCCAAATGTTAGGACTTCCATGCCGAACAAATTGCTCAATCTTAACCAGCGAAAGGGCTAACATAGAAACTGTCTGTACTCAGTTTACATCTCTCAGTCATCGATGTCTAGATTCATGCTTTAATATTTTAAAATGGAGATTAACACTTACGATAGTGCACGAGGGGCTGAAAGTCAAGGTTTGGAGGAATTTCGGCGGTAGTCTATAATCCAAAACTTATTTCTCCATTATGTTTTGAAGGCCACTAGAAATATAGGAAATTTATTTCCCTCCGGAAAAAATGATTTTATGCAACTCGCCTTGCTGGCTATTGTTCCAGTTGCAAACTCAAAAACTTCAATTTCAGGGTAACTCATTTCCAAAGCTGAAAAGTAATTAACGAACAAAGATAAATTTACAGATTTTTACTCAGGAATGGTGGATCAATAGATCATAGTCTGAAGCGTCCTTCTTTTTTACCTCGGCGAAAAACCTCTCTATCTACAGATCAACTTCGTTGCCTTTGTAGCTCATAATGTCAAGACTGGATCTTTTCTTTACCCCAGGTTTTTCAAACTGTAAGCCAGGTCTTCATGCTTTTCTTAACTTTGCATTTTCTGCGTTTTCCTAAATTCCTGCAGTTCTTGCGTCATAATCAGAAGGACAGTTTAACCAGACTTAATCATTGGATGGCGTTCAAAATGTGGATGAGTCGTATTTTCTACTGTAGTTCCGATGCATTTATTTAGTTGAAAGCTCTGGGCAAACCGATTTTTTTCCGCTCGCTCACAGAAATTGTTTTTCTCTCTCACTAATGAATTCATTTACTGTATTTGTGGGTGCAAGATTAAGAGCTCGGAGCTAAGTTGCAAACTCATTAATTGACTCCGTTCTGCCAATCAGAATGCTACAAACTCAATAAGCGTGCTCCACTTTTTATTTAAAGCATATGTATTCTCTAGGTTCCCATTGGATACTTGAGATAATTTTTCTTTATGTTTCTTGCTCGCTTAAACTAAATGAACCGCTCATGTAACTTTCCAAGGCTGAGCTCTGTTAGCTGAAAATACAAAATGAAACCAATGGTCTGGGAGATTGTGGCCATTCTTTCAGTCATTTATTTCATAGCAACTAATTATAAATCAACATACATGAATCTAGAAATCCTGATTCATTTCCAGCAAATTTGAGGTTAAACCTATGACGCAGCCCAAACCTAAAGAGGAATCCAATCTATACCACATTTAGTTGGTAGGATACAGGCAGGGATAACCTTTGCAGTCTGGTAACTAAAGAAAAAAGGCCCGCAACCAGGCCTGTAATTGTACTTAAACGCCCCTCATACAAGTCCCGTATGTTATATGATCCTCAGTACTGGAACAAGCCGGCAAGGCAAGCCGCATAAAATCATTTATTCCGGAGGGGAATAAATTTCCTTTATTCCTATTGGCCTTTGTGAAGACGAAAGTCGAAAAACGCCGTTCTAACTTAAAACGGAATTTACACCACAACTAATCCCTGAGGAAAAAGAAAACACTGAGAAAGGAATACACGTGGTTTAACCCAACAAATCACAAGAAACGATGGAAAACAATATGTCTGTCCTCTGTCATTCATCAAAGTTATATTACAAATTTCTCACCCAGGTGAGTGCAATCAAGCAAGATTCAACAAGTACAAGAAACTTTATTGGCAAATGAAAAGCAGAGATAAAGTTTCGAAAAACAAATAATGGTGAAATGTATTAATATTTGTCGAAATACCGATCAAGCGAGAAATAACGGTGAAATAAAAAACAATTATCGTATTTCTCTACCTTTTTCTACAGGGGATGCTCGTGGAAACACAGATTAGTTTTTGTCCCTCATTTGTCATGGACAAATCTTAACATTTCCCGCTATGTGACAATAAATAAATTTGCTCCTTTGCTTTTTAACTGCTTGAAAGAAATACTTTTTTTTTTATTCAGCTGATAATTGTATTGGTCCTGAGCGCAACACTCGTTGAGTTTCTTACTTACGTCATGTCCAAATCATTTTTAATCTAATACCATTCTCCTGAAACGGACAACAAGTCAGGTGATGTTTATTTAAAGTCCAAGCGCTGTTACTGAAGATGGAGCCCTCCATCTACTGGTAATGACACCCCTGTGATGAACGAGGCTTTGGGTGAACACAAAAAAGCAGTCACGTGACCGAACTCGCGACCTTCCCCGAACCGCTTCATGGGAGATCCTTGAATCATGCACTGAACAGCCTCGCTTTCAATTCCACCCTTACTTGCAGTCATGTGATGCCAGGCATCAGATAAGATGTAGCCAGGAATGATGGCATTCACAGTGATTCCGCGGGGGGCCAGAGCTTGGGCGTAATACCGCACCTGTATTGGCCAGATCATGTAACGCAAGTACAGTTTTAGAATATTTTAAGCTATTTTACTGTTTGTATAGCTTGGAAAAGTTAACTTCAGTATATTTTTCGAACTTGTCGTTTATAATGTGTAAATATTCTCTATTGCTAGCCATCGTCATTCCAGTTGGGTTTCTCAAAGTCTTTTTCGAGGTCGAAGAACCTATGATTATCGCACTCCATCTTGGTACGAGTATTTTTCAAAACTTATAAGGTGCTTAACTGACACTAGGAGGGATTCCGTTGCGGTTTGATAATCGAAACCTAATTTTCTCATTTGTTTACTGCTGGGACAAAAACGGTAATGTAAGATTGACACACTTATTTATCATCATTTGTCACGCAAGCCTTATGATTCGAATCCTCACGGGAGTATCAAACTCTTTGTCTCTCGCCTCGTAACAAACATTGAACACTGGCCTCTATTTATTCTTTAAACTAAGAGTTATTTGAACAGCGTCTTTTAAGCAAACGTAGATGACAGGCTTGCTATTGTATGACCAATAATATTGCCCGAGGGTTTAAGTGTTAAAAGGAGTTGTTAGACCTCGTTTGTAACGGAAGTTAAGTGGAAAAGGACACGCTTTCTCCCGCAGAAAAAATGGAATTTATTACCTGCAACTTTATGATTAAGCAGTTCATAATGTATTTGGTAAAAGAGGAAATAGTTTGTTGTAATTTGGCGAACCGAAGAAACTTCAAGGGTCCAATTTATGCAAATATGAGTAATTAGAATGGCATAAGTTATCAAAGTCATCTGTGGCAACTGAAGAATGCAGACCCATATTATCTTATTGAACCAAGCAGACAAAAAATTGAAGATTTTTGAGCGAATCCCTTAAATTATTCAGCATCCGTGAGAAAGGTGTAGCTTCAAAACCTCACAACAAGGACAGTGTATCTTGTAGTTGTACACCCTATCAACTTACCAGTAATTCTAAGCCTCCTTTGGCTTGAGTTGTTATGGCGTAGCCTGGTTTTACTGTCTGCATGCAGTTGGAGCCATAGGTAGATACCGCCAAGATGTAACCTTTACCATCTTCCATGATTTTTATCGCTCTTTCGACCATTCGTATGAAGCATTTTGGATAAATCTCTTGGAAGTAGTCGTAAGTGGCGAAATCGTCAAATTTGCCAGAGGCGATAGTTTCTTTGTAACTCGCGGCCGCTTTCTTGGCTGCTTCGGTTTCCGCTACTGATGACACACCAATGGCAGCTCCGGCGTTGTGTACTAATGCATTAAGCTTGTTTCCGAAATTCTTCTCCACGCAATCAAAGATTGCATCAACAGCTTCAGGTTTAACAAGGTCTCCTTTCACGACAAAAACTTTGACTCCATGTTTATCTTCCAGGGTCTTCTTGGCCTGTTCGGCGCGTTCTGTGTTGGCGTTGTACGTAAGAATCAAATGGCTGTAGCCATTGCTTGCCAGTTCCTTAGCAGCATCAAAGCCCAGACCTCGGGTTCCTCCGGTGATTATACCGAACATGCTGAACTTGAAGACGCGTCAGCAGAGAATGTAGTACCTGTAGAAGCTTCCAAGCGTATCAGACCAGCTGGTCTCAGTGGGAGGGGCGATAAACAAATGCAACTGGTCAGGCAGCAATTACTTCTGTCAAGAGAATAATAACTGTTGATATTCTCTTGCCTCCGTCATATCATGTACAGCCTCTCATAAGTTGGATGTTCCATTTAATTTTCGCCACCTTTTCCTCTGTATGGCACGCCTAATCGAAGAGCTTTTAAGTAACCACAGGTGTGAGACTCTGAATCTGACCTAAAATTTAGACAGTTTGCCAATTCTCAATCGCGACGCGTCTCGATGATCTGTTTGCTGCCCTTTCTTACTCTTGATTTTACAATGACAACTCAACTTGGGGTTGTTCTGTATGGTAGAAATTTCAATGTACTTCGGAAAACCGAGTGTAAAGAAGTTTCGTATCCCACTCATCTATGAAGGATTACTACCCACGGCGGAGACTTTCAAAGGGAAGAACTCATTATCAACTCTTAACTTCTTGCAGTCACGCTACTTGAACTAGATACGTCCGTCCTCGACCTAGACCTGGACTGCAAAACAATAACTTGATACCCAAGAAAGTCCGGCAACATGCGACCAATGCTACGGTCGCTTACTTCACTATCCGCTCAATAAGAGCAAGAGGAAAATTTTTATCTCGTTTCTTCGACCATAACCCATCATTGCCTCGATGTATCAACGATCTCTGAATCTTGACCCATCCATCAGCGATTGCGAACTGCAAGTTCCTGAATATAAATTGTTTCGGCAAGATCGTGGGCCATACGGCGGCGGTGTATGTGTCTACATCAAGGATGTTTTAGAGGCCTCTATTGACAAAAATTTCTAACATCTCATCTACAAGACTGAATTAAGATCGTGATAACTTTCTTATGGATCTTTCTCATGAAAGAACTCAGGAGAAATCTCAGAATCGATCATTTTACTCAACCGAGACGGCCTTACTTCGCTTTACAAACGACATTTCAGAACACGGATGAGGGTAACTTTCATGGATTGTGTCGTTAAGTATATCAAAAGCATTTGATAGCATCCAGTACGAGCGCCTACTTGTTAAACTCAGACTAAGTTCGAGACTTTCTTGTCTCAGTTCAGGCAAACGCCATAATAGAGGATGCCATTTCTGATCCGTGGCCTTTGAATTTCGGGCCTTAAGGCTCTATACTAGGCCCTGCACTGTTTACAATGTGTATCAATAATCTACTGTCGGTTCTCAAGCTGGTAAATCTTCAAGTTATGCGGACGCACAAGTTTTCTTATCCCTCCTCTTATAAGGTTACCGATGCAAGCGTTGCTAACCTTCAGCTTTACTTGTAAATCAAAACCTTTCAGAAATATCCAGTTGGCGCTAGCATAATTTGTTATTGGTTAATCCAGAAACGATCAAACTCTTGTTTAACCGTGTTCCACAACTCTTGCGAAATTTTCTTCGTCTATTAATTTCTGTTACTGGAAATCTATGGAAAGGAGATTGAACCAGAACCTGTACATGTCGCTAAGGACCTGGGCGTTCATATTGACAAAACCCTAAGCTTTAGCGAACATACATATCAAAGCTTGTTTCGAGGTTTGTCCATAAACCTTTTCAAATTAATATAATTAAGCAATTGTTTGTGCGAAACAGAACTATACTTCAAATAAACATTACCTTTGCATCTATTCAGCCGTTTTATTGTTGACTATTTTGGGTAAAACGTCCAAGTCCAATAAAAATAAGCACAACTTGAACAGAACTTCGTGGGAAAAATCGTCCTCGGTGTGAAATTCGATCACATCTCATGGGATCTTTAATCACTTCAGTAGCTTTCCATCAAAAACTTTTAAACAATGTCTCTTTTGTTCATAATTATTTTCACAATCGGGTGCCCAATTATTCGAATGCTATTTTTTCTTAGGTTTACAGACTCACAATAGACGACTCAGAACTATTGTAATCAACACACGACCTAAATTCTGCCGCACTGTCGGTCGGTGAAATTCGCGCCAGAAAAAGTCGTGCCGGAAAATGTTGTGCTCGAAAACGACGTGAAAGAAAGTTGAAGGTGCTCTAAAGAGAAACTGAGGTGGTGAAAATGAAGTTGACGAGAACCATTACGTATGATTGCTTTGAATACTTTCCAGGTCCCCTGTTCTTTAACTAGACGTCGTAACAGCAAAGAGTCTGGGACGAGGCTCCTAAAAACATTGTGCGAAGTGTAGCTGACATGTCACGCAGAATAGCACTGCTATCAGCAGCTCTCAGATCATTCCGGTCGATTTCATTCGTCAAGACGGGGAACACACTTGGCAATACGATTGAGACGGTGAGGCCACCTCCTGAAGACATGGCAGATAGCAAAAAGCTGACTGCAACTTTTGCTATGAGCTGATTTTGGTTCCCCGAGGCTCAGTTTGGATGCGCTAATGGCGTCGTCCGAACGAAGGTCGGATACACTGGAGGATCCAAGTTATTTCCGACCTACACAAGCCTGTGAGTATTTAAGTTACCAGCCAAAGTTGAACCTGTCGAAAATATTATCCTCCTGTTTAATTTATTTTATGACTTTAAGCGAAATCGGACAGTGTTAAGAGAAAATCACGCATTTCGATTATTGCATTGCATAACAACATTACTCGATCGTCTAAGTTATGTGATGTTTTACGATGTATACATGGTTTAAACTTCAGGGGTAGGCTCATATTTGTAGAGAATTGCGTAAGGCAAAAATATTAGCTGTTCTTTTATTTCTCAGTGTCACAATTTCTTTCAAAACCATTAGCTATCGGAAGCTTTTACCTTGCTGAGTCATGGAACGTAAATAGTACGTTACCGCAAGTTGAAATTGTTTATGTCGTCATGAGAGATGATATTTCTTTAGTCATAGTCACATCCACACCTTAAGCGGTTCACAGCACCTGTTTAATGAGAATTTGTGGACATAAAATTTTCGCTGTCGATAAGCTTCTTAGAATTTTCATACTGATTCACTCTGTCAAAGACTACAGGGCTTCATGCTCGACTTCTCTCTGGTTCACCATTTAATTTGGTGATCTAGAATTATTGTTACGAAAAAAATGATACTGGAAAATTTATAACTAGCAGGAAAAAATGTCGGGAGGATAAAAAAAATTATAAATAACAAATTCCAGCCAATTTTGTTGTGTAGACTCCAATCATAGTTTGCGAAAAATGAGGTAAATGTAGAGATAAACAGCAGTGAGATTGTAATATATTGGTGTAGTGTTCATCAAGAGGATGGGTTTCAACATTGAAAAATTTTTGAGTTTAGACTTTCGTCAACTTGCGTGATTAATAACTTGTTACTATCCAAGTGTAAGGGCTGAACTGGGGAATATTGGCCCAAGGTTGTGGCAGTGTGTGCCAAGTGAAAGGAAGTATGTACAAAAATGACAGGGGGCCAATATTCTTCGGTGTGGCTTAGTAGATATTATACAGTACTTGGACTAACTTTGTTGTTGTTGTTTTTTAATTGCTGGCATGCGAGATGAACTTTACAAGGCCTATGAACATTTCTGTGGAAATGGTTTCTGTGGCAAAATCCAGACCAAGTAAGAGCTAGACTACCCTGCCTTGTAATAATTTCCTTTATTTACTTTGACTCGTTCTATGTCAGTGGGGACCATACAGAAACCTTGGAGTTGGAGTATGACCCAAACTGTACAACTTACAAGGATCTGTTGAAAATATTTTGGAAAAATCACAACTCTACAGCAGTCCATAAAGCTCAGTACATGTCAGCCATTTTTTATCACGACGAGGATCAGAAACAACTTGCAGAGGAGACTCGTGAGGAACATCAGAAGATAGTCAAAAGAAAGATAGTAACAAAGATCCTTCCAGCAAACACGTTCTACGTAGCTGAACAGTAGGTGTTTTAATTTCAATTTTTTTTTTCTACAACATATCACTTTGATCTTTACAGATAAATGTATAAACCAAATAGTTAACAGTGCTCCAAGCACTGGTTTTTCAAGTTGCTGTTTTGCCACCAAAAATCAGAAATGGTCCCCAGAAATTGAACTTTTTTGAAAATGTTGTTTTGGACACTGTTTAAATTCTGTTTAAGTTACTAAACTGCTGATCATACCACTCTCTTTGAAATAAACAATTAAGCTGTGATGTGGCAGGCTTTTATCTCAGACTTACATGCAGTACTTGCACCAATAATGAGATAGGGAAAACAAACCAACACAAATTACCTTTTAGGCAAATTTTTCCCTCCAAGGAGTACTTTAAATGAGTTTTAATAAACTGTTGAAAAGCTGACAAAATATTTGGGGGTGGGGGTAATTTGTATTATGTTGGACTGGTGTCCTATCCAGAGAAGTATCAGAACTCTCAGTTGCCTTTCTTTGGAGAAGCTTCTGCCCTATTGGTTGCTCTTAATTGATGTCAGAAGACTTACCTTACTTATTTCCTAATGATTTTTGTAAAATTTCAAATTATCTAGATCCCAAATATTTCAAACTTTCCACTTCCCAAAGACTTTGGTTGATAACTGTCACCATGATAAATGTTACTTGCCAGTGGACATCTTAAGTCATTGTCATTGACCACAATATTCAATTTATTTATTTCCATTGACAGTTTGAATTATTAGTGGTCTGTCATTTGCAATAAGCTGATATGAAGGCAGTCAGCTATTTTTAAGATTTGTTCCAAAGAACACAAAGAGTGGCTGATATTTTTAACTTGAAATTAAATCTTTGATATTCCAATTCAGATACCATCAAAAGTACATGCTGCGACAGCACCCCTTGCTGCTGAACAGTCTGGGCTTAAATGATGAAGAGCTGAAGAAGTCTCGGGTTGCAGCTCGTTTAAATGGTTATGTTGGAGGATATGGTTCCATAAAAAGCTTTGAAGCTGAAGTGGATGGGCTAAAGTTAAGTAATCAGCAAATAGAAATGGTGAAAGAGATCATAGAGAGAAGAAGATTCTAAATCCAAGGCTTAAGTTCAGAAAGACTCTGTACAACAAAGGAGTTGCAGCTCTCTGTCATGATTTGTACTTCCTTAACATTGTAGCCTGGATTGATTTTTTAAGTTGGCAATTGTAAACCATGTTAATATTTACCACTGTTAGCTATTTCCTTCCCTTTTTAGTCAATTCTTACCTTGTTGGTATTTGTCTATCTGAGCAAATGATTCTTTCAATCTTTCATGACACTTAATAATGATTCTTTTTGATATTCAAGCTGGCTTCAAGGAAGATATTGTGATACAAAATGATTTTTGTTGACAGAACCATTACTTTGGAGCACTGTATTGAATTAAGTTTCCAACCATCTCATGTCAGTATAAGGTATTGATGCATACTTAGTACTCAATGTGATATCCCACTTCTTATGAAGTCCTGTAATTTAAACTGGGAAACAGTCTACAGGATGGATGTTGTGAAATTACTGTGGGTAGCTTTGAGTCTACTAGGTACTAATTGTAGATGGGAAGTTTTAAGTTTGTGCACCTGTATTAGTATGGGGTTCCTGAAGTAAACTTGAGAGTCAGAATACTGGTTGTTGTGTTGGATTTTTTCTTTAATCAGTCTTAATCAGGGATATCGCAGTTGGAGACATCACACCCCAACAATTTACATTGTTAGGAGCTTTATTGAAAGTTCTGTATTTGAGCACAGGGGGGGGTCATCATGTAGTGTCAATTTCTCTCACAGTTGCTCTTTTCTTATTGGGAGTTAAAATTGAGCACCAGCAAATTGTCAGGTAAGCCTGACAGTATCAATGCAGGGAAAACCTGGGATAGACTTAAAACTAGCCATGTAGCACACTTTGATTAAAGAAATACTATAATAGAAATACTTAATTCAATAAAGGCCTGTTTAGGAGGAGGAGCTGTAACAGGGTGGGCTTAATCACTTAACAGTGGATGGAATAGAATTAATAAAGAGCAGTTTTCAATTGAGTGTTGAGAAAGTAAAACCAAAGCAATCACAGGGACCAATCAGAGCAAAGGTGCACATTATCATAGTGAACTAGAAGTCAAAAGTGGAAATAAGCAAACTGCTTGAAACAAGGGAAAAGTTGAATGATCAAGGCACAAATTTTTTGTTAGTATCACATCTGATTGGTTGAGAGGATGGCACAAGTTCTGTGGACCAATCACAGAGCAAGATAAGTAAAACCAATGCAATCCAGGATTACTTTAGGCATTCATTTGAAAATTTCTCTTTCACAATCACACCAACTTCCTTCTAGAAGTTCCACTGATCCTTTGATATGCCACTCATAATATCACAAAGATGAAAATTGTTCATCTTAGAGAGGTTGTCTGGCATTTAACAATGATTTGATTAGAACATTAAGACATCTCTTTCCCTATGGAGCTTCAGTTTTATTCTTACCCATATTTTTTTCTCTGCTGATTTGGGCCATTTCCACTAAATGTGGGTAGGCATGCAAATGATGTAATTTCATAGTTACAGAAAATTTGCCATCTCATTTGCTATGTTTTCCCAGTAGTTCACTTAATATCATTGCCTTGTTGAAAGCCTCCTTTGTTGTTTGCTTTCAAAATTTGATCTTGTTATCCTTCAGCTTTCTACTTTCTAAGTTGTGCACCCCTTTGTGAGAAAATCCTTGATCCACCCAATAGGGCTCATTTCTGACAGACTCTAAAATAGTTAAAGTAGGTGATCCAAGTGGAGCTCAGTTTCAATGGAAAGGTATAAAATACAAAGTACAAACAGGCAAACGTTCAAATGCCATCAGCTAGTATCAAAGATGATGCAAACAACACTGGGTATCATTGCACTTTAAACTAAACGGATTGAAGGATACGCAAACTGCTGTTGTGGTTCCAGCCAATGCCAACACCTGGTTGACTTAGCACAATACTGACAGCACAGACATCACTCAGAAATACATGTATAACATGTCACTTTATTAACAAAACAAGCTTGCACATCTCATTTGCACAGAGCTGCAACTAGACCATGTTAATTTCAAATTGTTTCTCTTTTTTACTTTCTAAACTATGATTTTAATCGGACTTGTCCTTTTTACACCTTTTAGTACACAATGTAGCATGTCTATACCTTGATCTGTACATTTGTTGTATGAAAGGTCTAAGGAATTGACTTTACAATTTGGGTCTTCAAGTACAGAACACAGAGATGGTATGAACTGATCTGTTAACTTATTTTCGCTTATATTCAACTCAGTGAGTTTGCAATTTTCATGTTTTAGAGACATGCAAAGCTGTGATGCACCATAGTCTGTAACATGGTTATGCCAAAGGTTCAAAACAGTGAGCTTACAATGTGCATCTTTAAGAGCATCCAAGAGATGTATTATACTTTGGTCTGTTAAGTTGTTTCTGCCGAGGTCCAACTCAGTGAGTTTACAGTTTTTATCTTCAAGAGCATCAAACAGGTTAAAAAAGCTTTCACCTGCTACCTCATCAGAATAAATTCCCAACTTGGTGAGTTTACAATTTACATGTCTAACTGCAGTGAAGAAAAGAGAAACACCTTGGTCTGTTATAGATTGACCACCAAGGAACAACTCTGTGAGTTTACAATTTACATCTTTAAGTGCAATGCACAGGTGTTGCAAACCTTCATCTGTTATGACACAGTCATCAAGGTACAACACAGTGAGTTTACAGTGCATGTCTTTCAGTGCACTGCACAAGGTGAATAAGTCATCATCTGTTAAACAAGTTGAGTTAAGATTAAGCTTAACAAGTTTACAATTTTCATCTCTGAGTGCATTATACACTGGTAACAGAATACTTTGTTCACCATTAAATTTAAATGAATCCCCTCTAATCAGTGATTCAAAACATTCCCAAATTAAATCTGAAGGGTTTCTAAGCTGATTTCCAGCAAGGTTCAACTGCAAAAGCTTACAATTCTTATCTTTGAGCACATTTTGCAGGTAGGAAACACCTTGCCCTGTTATTGCATTGCAACTTAGGTCCAAATCAGTAACTGAACAATTTCCATTTTTCAGAGCATCACATAGATGTGCTAATCCTTCATCTTCTATCCCATTGCCACGAAGATCCAACTCCAAAAATTTACAGTTTCTATCTTTAAGTGCATCACATAAGTAAAATACACCTTGGTTACCAAGGTCATTTGCTCTAAGATTCATTTGTGTAAGTTTACAGTTCACATCTTTGAGTGCAACAGACATGCTTGATGCATCGCAGAAAGATAACTTGTTTCCTATAAAGTCCAACTTAGTCAGTTTACAATTTGAATTTTTTAATGCTTCACACAAGTGGAAAACACCCTGGTCTGTACAATCAGTTTCACTAAGGTCCAATTCTTCAAGTTTGCAATTTACATCTTTGAGTGCTTCACTCAGCCGTGAAACACCTATATCCCCCATACTATTGCCACCAAGGTCCAACTTGGTGAGTTTACAATTTGCATTTTTAAGTGCATCCTGCAGATGTGATGCACCTTGGTATGTTATGTAGTTACCAGGAAGCCTCAGCTTAGTTAGTTTACAGTTAGCATCCCTTAAAGCTTCACTGAGTTGTGAAACACCTTGGTCCTGTATTTTGTTGAAACCAAGGTGTAGTGTGTTGAGTGTACAGTGTCCATCTCTAACTACACTGCACAGGAATGAAACACCTTGGTCTGATATATTGTTAGAGGACAGGTTCAACTCCATAAGGTTGTGCAGTTTGTTAATAAAGAAAACAATTGCTGCACAGTCAACAGGTGTTATTTTAGAATAAGATAAATCTATCTTATTGTTGAAAGTTTCGTTTTTCTGTAGAAGTGATGCTGCCTTTTCCACAATTGTAGCATCATTGTACTCATGCAAACATTTCATCATAAGAACAGCTTCTTGTTTGGATTTACTACTAAATGTTAAAGAGTCACAAAGAGTTATGTATGTTAAAGAGTCACAAAGGAGGCTTACAAAACTGCTGACTGCCTCATTTGTTTGTCCACGCAGAAGGCCAGCCACAAACTGAAGTACCAAGTGCCACTTTGGATCTGAAGCATTTGTGAGGATGAAATTACTAATGTCCTTGGAATCCATCTTCACTATTTCTTTGGCAGCAAGAAATTCCTGAAGAGTCAAATGAATGAAGCAGAATTGGGACTTCAATTTGAAAGGTAAAACTTCACAATCTGGCATACGATTGAACAACCCACAGTCTTCTATTCCTTTCACCTCCACTGAGTCAAACATCAGTCGTCTCTCCTGAATTCCTCTTTTTGCCAATGATCCAGCCCGGTTCAAAGTTTCTTCAACTTGATCAGGGAGGCCCACATTTCCAAGAAGATAATCCTTTGTTAACAACTTCCTCTTAAATTCTGGGTGATGCTTGAAAATGAACAGCCTCAGAGCTCCTTCATAAATGTCAGTTGAAGTTGCTGGTAGAGTATTTCCTAAATGTTGTTGAAGTTTGATCAACTTCTCTAAAAGGGAACAGATAATAAAACTGTTGACAGGAATGTAGCACAAAGAGAGCAGTTCTAAATTGCTGCTGATATGACCCCATATTCTGTTCACTGTCTCTGGATCATGTGCACAAAATTTATGTACATATTCGTGGACTTTCTCTGGGGTAAATCCCATAATCTCAACCTTCCTGTCAAATGGCAAATGTGCAACACTCTGCACAACATTTGGTCTACATGTGGTCAAAATCGTGGCCCCTGAAAGCTGCTTTCCTTTCATCAGCTTCACGTAAAGAGCTGAAAATGGCATTTCTTCTGTTGCACTGTTTCCAGCATGTGCCCTTTCATCCTCCAGAATGCATTCGTGGTATTTAAATTCATCCAAGCCATCAAAAACAAATAGCACTTGCTCAGGGTTGTCTAAAATATGCTGTAAGACTTCACTGTCCATGCTACCTTCTGAATACAAACGACTTAACAACTGTTTGAGAGATATCTTCTCCATTGTCTCGGTATTGAACCATCTGAATTGGAACACAAACAGATGTTGAAAGATTTTGTCACTGTCACGCAAAAGATCACTCTTGCTCCAGTCACGCGACAATTTCGTGCAAAGCAGAGACTTTCCGATGCCGGGGCGACCAACCACGAGAATTTTACGGGGATCTGGAGTATCTTCATTTGGAACAAAAAGCTCATCAACTTTCTTTATGGCTATTGATCCATACTGGGGCTTTAAATATATATCAAATATTTCGTGTCTTTTCGACAAGTCAGCGAATTCGCTACATGCTCTTCCACTGTAAATAACAAGATCGACAAACGCGTCATCCAAAAGTCTAACTCTTTCGATTTCTGGCTGAGCAATCAAAGGTTCAAGGATCTCTGTTTCTTCACGTATTCGTTGTCTCGTCCGGAATGTCAACTCACGCAGCGCGATAGGGTTCCTACCCTTGCTGAAAAAGTGCCTCTCGCAGAATTCGGAATCGAAGATGAACTGTTTCCTCTGTATTGCTCGCAACGAAAGATAGCATATCTCTCCAGACACAAGCAACGTAAATAGAATGTTCACTATCCAAATTCCCCTTGCGTAAACAGCACTGTCAGATGCAATGGAATTATCACAATTGATGGCTAAGGAATTTTCTTTGGCCGTACTAACATTCGTGGAATTTGCTGCCCACTTCACTGTTTGAGTAAAACAGACAAACTCTGCTGGAAATCCACTTGAATAAAACACAAAGTTCTGCAAAATAATGAACAAAATCCCCCCAAAAAATCGCAAAACAAGGTGAAGAAAATAAGACAAGAACACTCGGCGGGTTTTCACTCTAGACCGACGGCGAGGGCTTTCTGGATTTGGTTTCAGGGCGATTTCAATCTCATCGACTCGCGATTTCACGAAACACCAGGAGTAGGTGATACACACTGCCAAAAGGGATGCAAAACAAAAAAGAACAAATCCATAGAATGGCAAACTAGAGTAGACCTGTTCATCATATTGCCTTAGACAGTCGTCGCTAGAATCAGGAGAAGAAGGACAGCTGAATCTTCGACGCTCGCTCGTTCTTTTAAAAGACTCCAGCGACTGTGGCAAGTGCTATTAATGCTAGAAGATGGAAAACTGCGACAATATATCCAAAAGGACTGAAGTATTTTGCGAGTAAATACTCCTTCACGCTCTCCATGGCGACTACTCATTGCTGAGGCGGAAGTACAATCACTTCTTGCCAGGCTGAAGAAATCACGCGAACTAAACTATACATTTTTCTTCCCTTCTCCTAACGGAGTGTAGCTCTCGGGGCCGGTGCATTCTGGGGACGATCTCTTACCGAGGAGAGTTGGAACAAGTTCGCCCCTGTCACGAAGTCACGCAACTGGAGCACAAATTTCCAGCTAAAATTCATAGGTTGGCACAAAGACGACTTCTTGGGTACAACAGCTTTGTCATTTTCCAGAAATGTAGTTTATTTTCTTTTTATTCATCTTGATCTTGTGTGCACAGCTGTATATTAAAAAAATTGTCCTCGCAATAACAAGGTTCACAGCTGATATTGTTACGTAAGATGTCTTTATAAAGCGGAAAACGTAACGACGTTAATTTTTCGTCTGGCTTTCAATAGGAGGAAGGTTTAGATTGAATAGATATGACGGAAAAGCCTTTAGGTATCGTGGTTGTTGGATTGGGAATCGCTGGAAAAGTCAGAGTGAGAGATTTGAAGCAGAAAGTTTTAGGAGACAGTGTTGTTCTTCGCGGAGTGATATCCAGGTGAGATTAATCGGATTCAGTGGTTGTTAACTTATTGGGTAATACACTTACGCATGCCTTTTCATAATCGTTTGCTTCTTTCCCTCAAAGTAGATGGCGGAAGCAACCCCAGAATTATATAGCTCTTTGAAAGCCCATTTAGAGTTCATGACAGGCGGGAATGGGGAGGAGGGGTGTGAAGGATGGAGGACGGAATTCCATCGCATGTTATGATGATTTAAACAGCTTGCTGTGCAGTAGGGTTTGGTAGTTTAATTCTTTGATCTCGAGTTAGTTGCCATTGAAAGAGAGCTGAGAATAATGTAATTTAGTTTACTGTTTTAAAAAGGATTTTAAAACCCGTGAGTCTTTTGACCCTGCCTACAGCACAAATTTGATCAGAAGTATTCAAGTAAGTCTGTGATATTTTTTAGTCACCCACAGTTACCTTTGCATGAATGAAGGTATGCTTAAAGTTATTTTTGAATGAAATGGGTTAAATTAATTCTATTTATTTGTGTGGATGGTTTATTTTGTGTAGTTAATTATACTTTTTAGGTGATTTCATTTATTTAATAATTTTAATAGGAGGCAAGTAGAAGATGATCTACCTGTTCTAGACTGGGACGAAGCCTTGACAAGAGATGATGTGGATGCTTTTGTCATTTGTACAGAAAATGACACCCATGAAGAGTATGCCAGGTGATCATGATCTTATAAATGACTTTTTCTTCTTCCTAATTCATCAAAACTTGGGAGATGTAATAATGTAGTGGTTAATTAGCATATGTTATAGGTATTGTGGAAGGCTCTATCTTCTATGTCCTTATTATTTCCTTTTGGCCAATTCTCTTATAGCACAATTTTCATTTTACAGAAAAATCCTAGAACATGGAAAGCATGTTTTGGTGGATTTTCCTCTATGTTTGACAGCGGAGGGTGGTAAAAAGATCTTTGATTTAGCAGAAAGTAAAGGTGTGTACATAAAATTTTCTGTATATAACTGTGAAATACCTGAATATAGTTATAGGTTTAATGTGTGTCCTTGGGTGTGATAAGGATGTGAAATAATTTACATCAGGCTTACTTAATATACAGATGTTTCTTCATGATATATTTTATGCGTGGAAATAATTTGAGAATTAGAAATAATTTGATTTTCTGCTTCCTTTTTGGGACGTTGTATAGTATGGGAGATCTTGTGGGGAAAAATATTATGTCAAGACTATATAAAATGGCTACTGGAACTAATGGTCTGTTTGTATAAGCTGATTTAGAAGGGCCTGGTAAGAGGGGAATGCAACCTGTTCAGACATTGTTTTCACAGCATTTTTTGAACTGTTATTTTTATGTTCTTAAATAAGTAGCGATTAGGGCCGTTTTTCCTGCCAGTTGCTTTTAATTTCCATTTTCACCCCCCTTGTTTTTGGTTTGTGGTTGTGTTGGCTAAGATTGTAAAATTCCCTCCTAGAAACAAAGTAGAGTTTCCATTCAGTGAGCCATATTGTGGAATGGTTTTGAAGTTTTTTTCTTCGGTTTTCAGGGTTGACCTGTCATGTTGAAGACATAGCTCTTCTTCTTGATTCCCACAAGGATATGAAGCACGCTATTCAAAACAAAAATGTTCCTTTTATTGAGGGTACCATTCGTCTAGATGCCAGATTTCTCAAGGAGTGGATCGCTGACATAAGGCGAGCTGGGTTTCCAAGTTTCTCTGGAATTTCACAATTGGAGATTTTGTATGATTTGTTTGGTGAGCTATCATTACAAGAAGCTCACTTTGAACATGAAACTGATCTTCATCGCCTTACTTGTAAATTACACACCTTGGACAACAGGTAAGTTAGACATTTCAGAAAATTAGCCTCTTTTATTGATTGTGATACAATTGTCTGGCTAAAGAAAGTTACACAATTCAAATCTGTCCCAGAGTGCTAGAAATTGTCTTTAGAGAGTTTCAAATTTCATTTTTTTTCAGGGGAGCATGACTCCAGACCCCTTAAGAAGGGAGTGCAAAAATGAAAAAAATGTAGTGGGGTGTTTTGTCGTGAAAGAGTAACAATTTTTATCTATTACAAATTGCAGTGGACATATTTATATTATGTGGGCTGATTGATGAACATACTCTTGGCAAAAATTTTTTTGAAAGCAATTCTGCAGAAGAATATATGACTATATTCCATGTTTGCCTTCAATTGCTCCCCCTTCATACATACCAAAAGGCAAATTTTGTCGTAAGGAGAAGGGGGAAGTTTTGTAATTGTTATTTTTTATTGAAAAAAAGCAGGGTGTCTCCAAAAGTTATGTTGAAGGTCATGGTTACTGGGGCTGCGTTTTGCCCAATTGAATTATTTTTTGATAATAAATCATTTTGTAGGCCATTAACTTGGATAAGTGAACGAGTACGTGGTGGGAAACCAAGGCAAGCATCCCAGGAGTATAAATTTGAAGATGGTACTACTGTGACACCAGCGCCTGTTTTCAAACCCCCTGGTCCACCTCCCCCTGGCCACAAGGGACTGTTTGCAAGGGATCTAGAGATATTTCTCTCTGAGGTACGGGGGGAACGCAGCTCTGATGAAATTGCTCAAGACAAGAAACGAGTGCTTTACTGCCTCGAGTTGGCAGAAAAGATTGAAACAATGACCAAAACTGGAACCTGTTCTTAGTACATAACTCCAAATACTGATAGTATCAAGTGGACAATTTGAAAATACGCTTAACCCCCAAAAAGGGATATCAATGAAAATAGCTTTCATAGAACTTCAAAGAAGCCAGTGAAGGATTGTTGCAATAAAATGTAACGGCTTTTATTTAGAAGCGATCTGTTGCTATGTTTCTTGTGGGTGTGTTACTTTTACTTCATGGTTTATCACTAACTAGTTTCGTGAGGCACAAAATTTTGTGAAAAGGAATGGCCTATTTTAGCGCGGTCTCTTCGCTGGGCATGCGCAGAAAATCTGCAGCGTTACCTATTGCAGAGCATTTCGTCAAAAGAATATTCAGGCAAATGACTGAGTTGGTTGTTATCTTGGAGAATGAATATATCCTAGAGGAGAAGGCATTCCTAGATTGTGGATGACGAGAGCATTGGAAGCCGCAGTCACCCGAACCAAGCCCCCCTTCGTTCTTTCACTCCTCCGCTCTTATCGTGCCGTTTACTGGCGCACTTCGTTTTACTAATTGAACACCTGGGAAGGCTATCACGCAGCATGAAAATTATTGTGCGGCAGATGACACTTTTTTACTGGCCACGCCTGCGTACCGCAGTTAAGTCACGAAAGGACGGAACTGAAAGGGAACGTATTAGTTTGTACTATGACTCCAAAAATATCCGTCAATGAATCTTCATGTGTGACTTTCCTATTCGAGACTCGACAAACAAGAATTTTTAAAATATTAACTAATGTCACGCCATTTAAATAGAAAATCGAAAAACTTAGCTTGCAATAAGAATGTCGGCCATCTAGAACCACGAAACTTTGACTACGCAAGCCCCAGAAACGTTCAGCCATGAGCAGAACAAGGACTGCTGCTGCTGCTGATGGACGCTGCATGGATTAGACGCGTGAGGAAAATGTCTAATCAAGATCTCTTCACTCTTTTTTAGATTCTCCTAGGTTTTCCGTAACCTTTCACCCCTGAAAATACCATAACTCTAGAGAGATTATTATCGTTGATGGTAGAAAATGATAAAAGTAATACATTTTTAAAGCGTGTTATTCTGAAAAGTTAAAAAATCTTTTAGAGACGGGCATAACCAAATAAACGTGTTAGTGCGATAAATCACAAAGTTCCAAACTCAGAGGAGTAATGGGGGAAATTTTCTAAAGAAACTCTACTACTGTGTTTAGTAGGTGGTCAAGTGGTGGTGGGGGGGGGGTGTCAGTGGATGGTGGGGGGGAAGGGGTTGTAAGATAATTTCGTTTGAGTTGATGATGTTCATTGGCCACGGTATGACGAGAGTTTCTAAAGCTTCGTTTCGAGGGTTAGCCTTTCGTCAAAGGAGTTAGCTTTTTTTACTCAAGACATTAAGGAAAAGGAATCTTTAATAATTTCTATATTTTATTTTGCCTTTCCAGATATTACAAAGCCCTGTAGTAATCAGTCAACTAGCAAAAAATTAACCAAGTTGAATATAATACTTAAATAAAGTATGAGTCAAAAGCTCGTGACTGCAATTTTTATATAGACTACGTGCAGTCCCTCCTTTTTGGCGAAGTCACACACACCAGTCAAAAAATAAAAGAAAAATCAGTGAAAAAAATTAATGTAAACGCGCCGCGTAGAACGAGGAAGTGAGGCGCGCAGAGGGACTGCACGTAGTCTAGATTTTATAAGACTAAGAACCAGCGTCAGTGAAGGCAGAAAATGCCCGCGTCTGGTAGACAAAACTTAATAAGAATAGAAACGTATAGACAGATACAGCCAAAAGAGGGTACAAAAATCCCTTTGCTAATGTCTCTGAATGCAACGTGTCCACATGTAAAAGGAGAGAAAACATTTTCAACCCTGTTAAATTGTAACCTGTCGTTAACTCAATACATCATCCAACAAGCAGATAACGAGAATAGAGGGTTTAATGCTAATAAAGCACCAATTGTTTTCATTACAAAAATCTACTTTGAGCTGTCATGGAAGCTACAAGGGAGGAGCCCACCCAATCTGAGAAGGCAAAGGGTTTTCAATTAAGGCGTTCAGGAGTCATAAAAATTTTTACTAATTTAGTTAGAGTAGAACATTTATGTTCCTTAAATCGAAAGAATGATTGTAATAATAGCTTTTACAAAATCATTTCTTTAACTGAGACTCGAAGAATATAAAGAGAAAATATCAGGGCTTCCAACCCTTGCGGAATAAACAACAGGGCATTGATCTCTAAACGGGGGGAGAAAACAAGAATAAAGGGAGAATCAGAGGTGAGAGGTAAATTTTGGCTGATTCCCCTTCACCTCACATACTTCAGGTTTACTGAAAGCTTCCTTGAGGAATATTCTTGTATTATTTCTGTGCTCCTTCTTTTTCCCTGCGTTTAAGTTGGTAACCCTTTTCAAACCTACCCTCCTATCAATAATTACAGTTCCTAAGCGAGCGGCTCACCCTATACGTCATTACATAAAACTGTTTTTAACAACCCATTCGTATTTGACAGAAAAAACTGAGAGGAAATATTTGCCTTCGTTGTAAGGATCCTGGCTTCTAACGGTGACTTTTAGCCTTTAATTTTTTCAAGGACTTGTGAAGTAAAGCAATTTGAATAACCAGAGCGACTGTGGCAATTAATACGAAGAAGAACACAACAAGACATGCCGTCAAGATGTATTCTGTTTGAACAGACAGTGCAAATCCTGAGAAAAAACAAGAATAAAAACAGCTGAGTAGGTGCGACACGAAAACAAATTGAAAAGAGACAATTTTGAGGTCTGTGTACAGCATAAGCCTGTGTAACTAGCATTTTTTTGTGCGCTAAGCGATGAGCAGGGAAGCTTCAAGACTACGAAAAGATAAACTTATCTTCAGTAGAAAGGCTTCGAAGGGCTTCACCGTTCATCACTTTAGCATACCAATCCATTCAGATAACCCGGCTGGCAAAGCATGTAACTACAGTTCACAATTTTTTCACATTTAGCCGACTGCTTCGTCCTCTATCGAGGAGGTATGATTATTTTTTTTATCTCCTCATGAGCGCATAAATTTTCACTTATCAAATCCAATGAACTGACTGACAAAGAGGGGGAAAGGCCCCAAATGTTGATATTGATCGTAAAATAGCTTATATCAGAGTCTGCGCCCAGCTGTGGTATTAGTCGTACAGTACCCAACATCTAAGGGTCTATGCCTAAATGTTGATATTGATAATAAAATACCTCACAACTAGGAGTCTGTGCCCGGATGTGGATATTTATCGTAAAATATCTTACATCGAGGAGTCTGTGCCCAGATGTTGATATTTATCGTAAAACATCTTACACCGAGGAGTCTGTGCCCGGATGTGGATATTTATCGTAAAATATCTTACATCGAGGAGTCTGTGCCCAGATGTTGATATTTATCGTAAAATATCTTACACCGAGGAGTCTGTACCCAGATGTTGATATTTATCGTAAAATATCTTATACCGAGGAGTCTGTACCCAGATGTTGATATTTATCGTAAAACATCTTACATCGAGGAGTTTGTGCCCAGATGTTGATATTTATCGTAAAATATCTTACATCGAGGAGTCTGTGCTCAGATGTTGATTTTGGTCGTAAAGTACTTTACACCGAGGAGTCTATGCCCAGTTGTTGATACTGATTGTAACGTACAGATTTCAAATCCATCACCGATCAGCCTGAACCTCTCGGCCACGCCTTTGCGCAAAACCTGCTTAATCTAATAACTAACCTTTGGTTGGGGTACTTGTTGTCGGTGTAATCACTGTTGCGCTCGCAGAGCTGCTCGTTGGTTGAGACTTGGAAGGAGTAATGGTTATAGTTTTCTTATTGGTCACCTGAGATGAGGTCATGGTCGAGCTTTGCTTAGTTTTTGTACTGATGGCTGTGCTTTTTATCTTCGTGGAACTTATTATTGTACTATGATTTGCGACAGGACTCGTCGCTGTGCTATGATTTTTCGCGGCTCTTGAGGATTTTTGCTGAACTATTATCAAACTCGATGATGAACTGCTTTGTGAGGTGGAAATGCTTCCATTTGAAGAAGCCCCAAATATGGAAGATGGTGTCACCAGATATCTTGATGAGGAGACCTGTGGTGAGTGGAACTGGCTCGACGAGATATTTGATACAATTTGCGTAAAGCCATGCGTACTGCTTACCGTGACAGCTAAGAAAGGAGAAACTGGAAAGAAGTCTTGAATTAATCAAGGCAGTCGGCACTAGTCGGCAGTTTACTTAATTTTATCGTGTTTGCGTTACTATGCTCTTATCACCTATGTGAATTTCACACCCAGAGTACTTGGACTAAGCTTACATCGAGGTCTCTTAACTGCATCAAGTATGAATTTCAGCTCATAGTTCACCGCGTGCCCCTCCAGGGATTGAGCAGCGGTTTTTTTCATTGTCGGCTTTCATTTCGATTTTGAAGAATGACCAATAAGCGGGTAGCAAAGAGACGGGGCGGAGGGGGGGGGGGGTGTTCCTGATCTGGGCTGCTTAGGAAAATTCACGAGTCACGAATTTAAAAGGGAGAAATTCAAATCTGTCTTTTTGTGTGCGAGGTTTCTGGGAAACCTTGAGACTTTCATGAAATGAAAAAGAATATTTGCGGCCGGGCCACGTACATTTCAGGAGGCAAATCACGCCTCACTCACGAATCCCAATCGAGTACAACGTTAACGTCATTTCTCTTTCTAGAAAAGTTAAGGATTGAAAGAGTTATAATCAAGGTAATAAAATCACTTTCTTTATACATCATTAAACTATTAATAATTGTAAACAAGGTAATGAAGAGTCGTGAGTTGGGAGAATTAATGGTTAGATTATCAGGGTTCTAGAACGGTTCGGCTGGTTTTTGTAGGTGTTCAGTAATTCAGTCTAAAACTGATTTGCTAAGGGTACCCGGTAATTCAATGCTCAGGTAGGCTTTCTTGATGTTCCATACAATAAGACTTGGAGGCTTTGAAAATTCTGTCCTAGAAGTAATCAGTAAATAGATTTCCGGCTTCAGCAAATCTATAGTACCGATAATCCACAACCATGTAATCAAATATTCCACTATTTCGCCAATAATTAGTATGTTCATCGAATGGATTTCATGTTGCCGCGCTTCTGTCCAGTGATAGATCACTGATGACGTCAACATGTGGCCGGTAGGAAGACGAAAGTAGCACATAAGGCTCAGACGAGTGTGTCAGATGTTCTCACCACATCAGACCCACGGCAACACGAAGTCTATTTGTTTTATATAATAAATACAGAAGCAAAATGTCGTTGATGGTGAAGTCATCAATGCGTTTGTTCTGTAATAGCTTATAGGCAAGAACCAATCAAAACAAGTGTATGATTCAGCCTATTTTATAAATGTTCATAACTAAAATAAACTATGGTCAGATTTGGAGATCCTCTGTTAAAATCAATTGGCGATAATCTGGGTAGCTCGATATCCGTACATAGTTTATTATCTCTTGGTACTTAGCTAATACCGTAATCACATTTGAGTAAATTCTTTGAACCGATCAACAGCCAATTTTTAACACGGTTATCTTTACATCCTTTAATTTAGTTGGATTGTTCATCTCCTTGACTTAAATTGCTCTAATTCTTCTGTTATCAGTGCAAGGGCGCTGGTCGAGGGGCTGTGGTATATATGTAAAACCACTCAAAGCGACAACAGCAATAAAAGAACCTCGCTTGTGTTTCCACGAAATTCTACCGATCATGGTGAAATTATTCCCTTCTGCCAAATTTTACCCATTTCTCGAAACAGAGATCAGTCCTTCCTAAAGCATAGTCCAATCACTGGACACACTCATCTGCGCCCCATTCAGGGTTGAGCCCGTGCGTGGCCTTAGCCGCCGGGGCTCAACCCTCATATAATGTGTAGAAGGGAGAGCTTAAGAGCTGGAACATTTAAATCACTAAATTTGAACCACTTCAAGGTACAATAATTATTGTCTTGCCATAGGTAAGTTAGATGCTTTCTTTTGTGCCCGATTTTGGTGACTGAAATTTTTTATCCAATTTTGGCAAGTTCACCTGTGGTTACTCTTTTTATCATAGAATTTTTTTAAACGCTACAGTGAGGTTTTGCCACAAGATATGTGTGTGGGAGCAAACAGTAGATTCTTGAAATTCTGCAATACCAAGGTGACGACCTGGTGCCCAAAATTTTCAATCTGTTTCACATACTGCTTGTCCGAAAACAAGAGGACGTTACTTCGGAAAGATACGTGTTTACAGTCTAACAACACAACCGACTCTGCCTTAAACTGTAAGCTACAGTTCTTGGTTAAAAAAAAGTGGACTTCGTGAATCTTTTGGTATTCATTTTAATCGTAATTGGATTATACTCATGTAGCCGAATAAAGTGCATTGCTGTTAGGTTAGTACTTAGAGTTTTAGGTGATGAATTTTGTATTCGAACCAGAGATAGCAAGAAAATATCAATGCGAAACTTGTACATACAAACAAATCTTGAAATGAACCTTGAAATGGACGATCTTGAAATTGATCGTGGTCGGATTAATGATTGATAAGAAACAGCGAGGTCAGGTACCGTGACGGCTTCAAACCCTAGTTCTCTGCATCAAACCCTGTAACTCGTTTCTTGATGAAAATTAGCTCAAACAAAAACTTACCTGACTTTTGAGGTGTGCTCTTGTCTAGAGTGGAAATTGCAGCTAAAACTGAGAAAAATAGATACGAAACTGAGTACCATTTTCGAACACGAAAGGTTATCCGTGATCAAGCTGTGTCTTTGTGCGGTAGCAAGTTAAATTCAGAACAAGTCAATTAAATAGTCGAACGATTTGAAATATAACTTTAGACATATACACCACTGTTTTGTTTTAAGCTACAGTTCTTGGTTAAAAAAAGTGGACTTCGTGAATCTTTGGTATTTATTTTAATCGTAATTGGATTATACTCATGTAGCCGAATAAAGTGCATTGCTGTTAGGTTAGTACTTAGAGCTTTAGAAGATGAATTCTGTATTCGAACCAGAGATAGCAAGAAAATATCAATGCGAAACTTGTACATACAAACAAATCTTGAAATGAACCTTGAAATGGACGATCTTAAAATTTATCGTGGTCGGATTAATGATTGATAAGAAACATCGAGGTCAGGATACCGTGACGGCTTCAAACCCTAGTTCTCTGCATCAAACCCTGTAACTCGTTTCTTGATGAAAATTAGCTCAGACAAAGACTTACCTGACTTTTGACGTGTGCTCCTGTCTAGAGTGAAAATTGCAGCTAAAACAGAGAAAAATAGATACAAAACTGAGTACCATTTTCGAACACGAAAGGTTATCCGTGATCAAGCTGTGTCTTTGTGCGGTAGCAAGTTAAATTCAGAACAAGTCAATTAAATGGTTGAACGATTTGAAATATAACTTTAGACATATCCACCACTGTTTTATTTTAAACAGTCGAGCAATCAATCAAAATACAAGGCAACGAGAATCGAAAAACAATGGAGGAAAAAAAATGTCACACTCTCGAGAGGCCATACTATACTTGCTTTAAACATTCTTCGTTCGAGTGTTTGTTTCCAATCAACAAGATCAGTGGTTTGTCTGCTCAAATATCTCACATTTACATGGAAGTCTTGTTCATAATTAGCTCGGAATAATCTCGTTAGGTCATTTAGACACGTCTTATAAAGATTATGCAAATTATCAAGCAAGTAGAGCACATCAAAATTGAAGAACAGAAGTGCTGAAATGTGCGCGTATCCGTGACAACTGCTATTTTTTACCACCCGGAAATCAGTGAAATATTGCGTTCGGCACGATATACAACTTTATCTGAAACAATTTTCCTTCATAAAACCAGACTGAAGCCTTAGCATTAGGCAGCTTTTACAAATTTGTGTCTCATTTCGCTTAACAGGGGTTCGAAAATTGTCAAAACGTCGTTTAAAACTAGGAAGGTTTAACTACGTAAATGTGTGGAGTTGTGTTGTCTCTCGCTGTTTCGCTTTAAAAACTACTTCATTTTACTTACACATGCTTGAGTTTTGTGCTTGTACCTCCGGCGTTTTGAAAAATGTACAAACTAAAGTACAGAAGAGCAGGAAACCGACAGTATTCGAATCAGCCATGCCGTACTCTTGTTGCCCTGCTTAGACAAAGGCAGCTAAAAATATTTGTGAAAATATGAAACCTAGGCATTAGCTTAATCACTGACCCGCAACGAAGGAAGTCATACCTTCCTCGACGTCACAATTGAAATAGTTTTAGTGTTACTGTAGAAACATGGATTAATTAGAGATGATCTTTGGACGCACATGGGAACTTAATGATTATGTGCAGCTACTAGCTTTGGAAAAGATCGCGTTTCCAATACCAGAGTTAACATCTTAAGTTAATGATCATACATGTTTCATGCAAAACTCCAGAAATCCGGTAAAATACCAGAGTTAACATTTTAAGTTAATGTCGAGTTTGACAGATTCGCGGGAAGGTGAAATACTGAATAAAATTGGAAAGTGAAAGCTAAAAAACAAGACTGTAAAAAAGCAAAAAAATGAAATGAGGGAAACTTTGAAAAGTGCCAGGACTTAGTAGAGACGCTCGATCACTCGAGTGAACCTCCAGTTTTATGATTCCGATCCAGGAATAAGGAGAAAATTTTAATTAATTGCAAAACAGTTTCCAAAAGTGCATTCACTTTACGTCGCGCTGTGATTGGTCCTGAAAACTCGCGCCATTTCCTATCGTAACCACGGTGATGTTCATTTTCCCTTGCATCAGACAGTTTCCTTGATCTTTGTTTGAAATGAAAAGACAAAAGAGAGGAAAAAAGTTGAGAAAATGATCAGAAAAAAAAACCAACAAATAAAACAAAAAGGACAACAAAAACGAAACAAAGAGAAAGCAAATAAAAAATCTTAGACCGTATTTTAGAACATTTAAATGTCGAATGATGAAATGGAACATTAGCAGCTTATGATGGTCAAATATGGCCGTATTGCTCACTAACAGTGCAATTGTTCCACAAAACTTAGTAAAAGCGATTATGTAGAAAAACAAGGGCATACTCTGGTTGGCCTGACCCACCTATATGGGAAAACAGTAATAATTATATTACGTGCTCACTTATTTATCAAAACTGTGACCAAGTATTACTAAATACAATTGGAGAGAGTATTTCAAGACAAACACTTCAAGGATGACTGCCTTTGATGCATTATTCAAATTTTAAACAATACAGTTTTAATTATTTTCCTGTTCCTAGAATAACATAGTTTATCTATTATTTGACTGCATGGTGCATTAATTAGTGGTTAATTATTCTCATACCTGAGTTAAATAAAAAGAGTTTTATCAATCATCAGTAATAGACTGCATGGATCAAATTGTGTTCATATTTAATACAAAATAGGGCTGGAGAACCTCTTGCAACAATCAAAGGAACACCAATTGGAAAACACAAACAATTTAGCCATTTACAACCTCTAACTGCTGCCAAAAACAAGACAGCTGAAGCTGAAATGATGTCAGAATAAAATGATGTCTTCCAGGATGAAAACAGCTACCAATATAGGAGACCTTATGAATGTTCACTATAACCTCTCATAAATATTTATGACTTCTCTGTGCCAGTCTATCATCACTTAAGGTCTAACTGAAGGCTTTTAAAAATCTCTATCTTGTTGAAGATACACTCATCTTTAACAATTTCAACTTGTTTATTCCAGACCCTTCAAGAGTTTCTTCTGAACCTTCCAGATCTTAATATGAATATTTCTCAAATCAAATAAATGCAGTTGAGTGTGCAGTTCAAAAGAACATGGAGCGGTGGATGGAATATATTTGTTATCCTGTGAGTGAAATCTTTTGCTTTATGCTGGTGAAAACAAGTTCATGAAGGTCCTCTACAATTGATGGTTCCATCTTTTCACAATATCCTGCTGTAAATTTTGCCAAGTGAAAAGAAAAATTAAAAGAAAACTTCTTTCTTGTCCAATCAAGCCATCTTTGATGATTGGACAATTGTTTTGATACAGTAAACAAATATAGCTAAATATAAGTTATTATTAATAGCTTTGAGTTGGCACTGAATGGAAAATATCTTTTATTATTTTAGCAAGATACAACATGGTAACAAAGAAGTCCATAGTTGTGCAGCAATTTCACTATAATAAACTCCTATTACCCTTGCACATAGTTTCTTCTCTAACTGATACATCCAAATGCTACATAATGATTTAGTGCCTTTGGCTAAGTCTTGTTCATTATGAGTTCAACATTAAAAGGCATTTAAGATATAAAATCTGCTGTTCAACTATTTTCAATGATTTTGCAAGAAAAACAATTAAATTCCTGTTATATTTTCTGGCTCTGTTAAATGAACCATCTTTAAATATGTCCACTGAAATTATTGAAATCCCTGAAACCAACCTTCAGGATATGAGAACTAATTTACAAAGCAGTTTAAATGTTCCTTTTGTAACAAAACAAAGCAAAAGGAATATAAATTATCTGCATGTAAGCTCGTAATACACTTTAGGCCAGTCAGAAATTCCACTCAATTTACATAGTATTTTTCATTGTACGACCTGCTCTGAGGAACTTCTACATGACACTAATTATTCACCTAGGGTGTAGTGAATATTATTCAATAATGTTAAATTATCTGTAAAGATTAACTGAACTTGAGGAGATTCATTGTCCAATGTCAAACAATGAAAGTTCTGTTACTTTTATCCTCATAAACGTCAAAAGAGCTATGCAGTGGCCATTTTGAATTCAGTATGATAGTTAACTTGTGCGGGATTATTATAAAAAGATATGGCATACCGATCAGAGTGTGTCCATTTCTATAAGCTGGGTTTGAGCTAGGATTTGACTACTTTGGGTCAATTTGTCCTTCTGAGTTAGTTTTGAAGGGACATTTTTCATTTCAGAGGGTCGCTAAACCATAGAGGAAATTTCAAAGTGAACTGTAACTTTGAAGTTCCTTCCCCTTTGAATCATTTTATGTGTAATATCTAGCAGTAGCCCTTTGCCAGAGCCACTAAGGGCTAACACTCAAAACATCACTTTTATAACTCTTTACTGTGACCAATTTATGATATAAACTCAGTTGATAAAACCAAATTACTCTAAATTACCATAAGATGAGCTGCAGCTCATAACTACCTTACCAGTGATCATAAAGGAAAAAGGAACCTCAAGTTGCAATATATATCCATGGGGGTGCATTTTTATGCTTAGCTTTAATTCAACATACCTTCACTTTAAACTCATTGTAACAAAATATTGTATGCAGAATCTGAGGGAAGTAAAATTGAAAACCTATGATAAAATTAAACACACTGAGCTCCTCTTGGATAAAACTCCTTATCATTATGTGCTATTCTCAAATATATTATATTAATAGATATATTTCAAATACATTAAAGTGGAACCTGTATTGAGTTGTCAGTCACTTGATGAGTGGTTCTCTTTGAGTGACCATTCAAACAGATGGGGACAATGTAACCTCATAAACTGAGTATTCTCATTACCTGATTGCTGATTAATGTATGAATTTTAAAAGGATAAGTTAAATGTTAATCACTTCTAGGAGTTAGAATGTTAATATCGAGCTGCTTAATACAGGTTCAAAAGTATGTCATATTGAACTCTTCCAAAAATCAAGTTGTTTATTTTTGTTTTGCCCCTCCAGAACCCTCAGTGGAAGAGTGATCATCATGAACCATTCCATAAGGCCTGAGATGGTAAACCATGTACTCTAAAACATACATATTGTTTGGATTAATGTAATGGAAAGTGATGGCATGATCTGAACAACACTCAGGTCCCTCTTTGTATGGGTTGCTATCATATGACCAAAGCCAAAAATCTTTGGGTAAATAACCGGGAATCAAGTGGTGTTCCGGGGGGAGCGGCATAAACGTCTCTCTTCCACTTGAATCTCTCGTTTGGTCGGGTTTCACTCCCACGGCATTGAGACATTTTCCAACTTCCACATCTTCGGCAAAGCTTGTAGTTGAACAAATGGAGGTATCTCCCAATGCTTTCTTAAATCTACGAACTGTTTCCCGACTGAATACATATCCAGCCCCGCCGCTGTTGTACCCTCCGAATGTTTTGAAGTGTCTTCCAAGGAAATGCGGTTCGTCGGGATTCATTTTAGACACCAGATGTCGGAGATTTTCGATGATAACATACGTATCGTCGTCTGCTTTCATGAACCAGTCAGCATCGTTGAGATGATGAGTATAAACATAATCCCAAGCAGCGCGGGTTTTCGACCACAAGTTCTCGCGCCCTTCTTGAACATCGAGTCCGATTGCGGGGAACTTTGGGTCCGCTTCCGAGCTCATAAACAAAAGAATATTGCAGCGCTTCCCCCAAGTCTCCTTAACTGGTTTGCCTTTGACGTGCAGAGTTTTAGGGCTCGTCATTACCCAGCATAAAATCTTTATCTTCTTTTGCTCCTCAAGAGCCTCTTTATTCAAAGAAAGGTGGTGATGATGATCTTTCATGTCGACATTAAAATCCACTGGTGAATCGACTTTGAAGTTACTTCCCCTCTGAATCATTTTATGTGTAATATCTAGCATTTCTCCTTCATGGGTCTTTTCTGGAACAAAAAACTTTTGCATAGTCTCCTCCTGATTGAAGCGGTTTAGAACAGTAACGACAAAAACCCCAAACGAAAGACCTAGGGCAAACGCAAGGATCGTTGACCGTGCAGTCGCCATGATTTACATTTAAGGTAATAATGTACAGTGTCACGCAACCTCGATGTGGTGTTGTAATCGTTCGGCGAACAAAAGATCTAAGCGGGTAGACAAGTAGTTTTGTTCTACTTCTTTGTCATTTGCAATTATTTTTCAACATTTCTGGTGTATTTTGAAAATTTTGTCTCTACTAAGGCGTTCAAGTGTTTGAATTCTCTATTTTAACTTTTTATTTCGCCGTTAGATCTTCAATTCCTCGGGTACCCAAGTAGCTGAATAAACATTTAACACGGCTAACCAAATATTTAAAAACGAAAGAAATCATTTAGCTCATGTTTAAATGCCACTCAGAAGACTTTTTTTTTTAAATTGACATCTAACGACTACGTGTCATCTTCTCGTTATTCGAGCTGCCTCACTTATTCATTTCTTTAATATCCAGTCTTTTTAGGGTCCCTCACGCGGTGATCTACCGAGAATATTTGAGTTGTGTTCAACTTTGGACATTTATAGGTGAAAAGTGGTTCATGTCAATAGTATAAATTATGCACAGGGAACCGTTTGTGAGAGAAAAGCTTTTTTCAGAGAGACTGGTAGAACCACAAATAACAGAGAACAAAAGGCAGATACAATTCGTTGAGTCGTTTAAATTGAAGAGAGGGACTTTCTTCAACTTATCAGAATTTATATTATTCGAAAAAAAAAAACACGAGATAAGTCCATACAAATAGCCAAATGGGAAACAACAGACCGAGAGAATTGAAGATAATTGAATTAGGTGGCTCTTACGAGTGAAACTTTCACTCGCTTAAATGTTAGCAGGGAGTTACTTTTAACGAAAAAGAAATGACAATCCGGCAATATTAAAAAAATTTCAAGTGGGAAAATTCTCATGGGAGATAGAGGAAAGATCACGAAATACAGTGAACGTTTTCAAAACGTACGGGTAAAAAACCCATTCATTAAAATTTCTTGATTACAGTACAGGCGTCTTATTCAGGTGAATTAAAGTTTACTGCTGGCCAGTGCATTTTTTTATTTAGATAAAAAGGTAGCTTGAGTTGTACTTGAAGAAAATGAAGGAAAATGGTTTGAAGTGTTTACTACAGTACCTATAAACGCCTCCTTAGTTGTCTTCTTCAATAAGTAGTATCATATAATTCTCATTGGGAATTTTTATCGTGTTCCTAAAAAAGGGTAAATGCTTCAAATACTCAAATGAAGATTCAATTCCTAAATCAAAGGATGGAAAGATTAAAAGGAAAAAAATTTAATTGTGTCTCCCCGGCGGGGAATCGAACCCCGGTCTCCCGCGTGACAGGCGGGGATACTCACCACTATACTACCGAGGATTCGGCTGAAAACAATTGGAAATATTCAATAATTAAATGTCTTCTACATTTCACAAGTCACTTATTATTGACGGTAAAGGAGCCAAGTGGAAGAAACTAGAGATCAATTGACCAAGGTGCTCTAGACAAAAATACGATTAAAAAAACTCCGAAATGCAACTGTCAAAATTGGAAGGCTGAATATTCCAATCGAAAGAGCCCTTTGTTAATCCTAACAACTGCCTGACAGCTCTTCCTTCATACAAATGTCCACTACTTTTTTCTTGAAGCAGAATGTCCTTTTCATGCTGATCGTCTCACTTTTCGAGTGCTAACTAAATGCCTTTCTAACAACGTGAGAGAATTCATGTGATTCAACGAGCTCACGAATTGGAGTCTTTTTCTTAATCGTCAGTTCGACAAACTTTCCAGCTTCCACAGGAATTAGCATGGTACACAAAGCATTCAAACTTAACTTCCTTTCCGTCTTTGCAAAAGTTCTAGGATACAAACGTCCTGTGATCAGCTGAGCAAAGCGCGTTGTCAGCCTTTTGCTCTTCCCAGATGAACTGTAATCTTACGACGTTTGCAAAGCTCCTACATGCGATTTCCACAGAATGTTGGAGTTAGAGATATTTTTCCAACGTCGATAAATCTGACTCTTATACAGAGAGATTTCACGTCCAAAAAGGAAAACATGATCAGCAAAACATCTTCACTAGTAAACTCCGTGACGTAATTTCGCTGATCCCCGATCTATGTTTAGGCGCGCTTTGAGCCTGCGGTAGTTTTCAATACTTCTGCGGTTTTTTTTCTGAGGGGAAGGGTTTCCAAATCCACATTTTAGTGGTTGGGTATTTTCTCGAATTCTAGCTCTTTTTCAGCGCGAATGAATTTGTCTTCGGTGACTTGAAGAACTATCAACAGGTTTAAAGATGGCAGAAGACGAGGTGAAGAAAACAGGAGGCCAAGTCGATGGTAAGTGATTCCATCTCGCTTAGCTTGGTTCTAAACTCGTGACCATTAAATTCTCAGAAAAATAACACTTGTGATCTTCAAACGTCATGATTTCACTGATTTTCATACTGAATTCATGCCCGGAAAAAGGAAAAACTTAAGTTTTCTACAAGCTGGAACTTTTAAAGAAGTGCGGTTCATGAAGTAAAGGTGAATTTAGGGTAGATGAATCGTCACAATAGTTTCCCTGTTCTTTCCGTATGTGTCATTGGCGATGGCAGCTTCGCTGATTTATATAATTCAATACTGTTTTCTAAAGTTCCTCATAAAAGTATTTGAGGCAAATTTATCCATCATTTAACACATGTTAATGGCTCCTGATGACCCGCAGCACTGATCCATTATATCAATATATCAACCTCCCCTTGACCCCTTATGAAAGTTGCTGGTAATCCGAACTGGAGTTATGAGTGGCGATCCAAAGAGATTTGGAGACAGAAGTAATTTTAATGAGCTCATTAGTTAACATTATTCTGCGGCACATTTTTGTAAGCAGGTTTGTTTTGTAGTTGTATATAGTGTCTAAACAACCAAATTTGTATATTTTTATGGAAGAACTGCATCCAAGAGTAGCATCTGGAAAAAATACTTATTATGTACAGAAATATCACTGATGTCTATAAAAATGATTGGTTTGGAATCAATGGAAAATTTTCAGTGTGTATAAGTGTGTGATGGTACTTGAGTTTGGCATGAAGTGGAACATACTTCACCTGGATGCTGCTTCCCTAGCTAGTGGTTAAATCTATGATAATTGATATCCATTCCCTCTAACATTGTCATACACCAACAAACCCAGTAATTTCCTACTGTAATCTACCAACTGATCCAACATACAGAGTTTTAGGGACAGGCTTGACCTGTCACAACTTGTCCTAGTTAGTTTCTATAGCAACTAGTGGTGTTGGTACTCCACTAGGATGGGATGATTTTTCATAGCAGGCAACCTTTAAGAATTTTGTTAGATTTCCTTGACAGCTCTGTATATGACTTTCCCTTTAAATTCCTAAATAGAGAGAGAGGAACTTTGATTGTGAAATGTCTTGCCCCAGATCATGACACAAGGGACTTGCCTCTCTTAATGTGCAATCAAGTGTTTACTCTAAAAAGCCACTTAGTCTCTGCACATTTTTACCCTTGTTTATTTTTCTTCCTTCAGAACTTTGTTTGGCTCTTATTGATGCAGCCAATGATAAACAGCACGAGGTGCGACAAATGATCATGACATCTCTGCATGAACTTGGAAAGAAACAACCAGAAATGGTTCTGAGTGCCATCAAAGGATATCTTATCAAACATCAGAAGGTAACTTTGATGATGAAAATTATAGACAACTTTATTTGTTGTGAGTTAATTGTCTAAAATATATTTTATGTATAGATCAACTTCACCATCCATTTTTTTAAGCAGTGGGTTTAGAATAGTGAGAGGAAAAAATATATTGACAATGTCAGTGATAGAATAGTAACTTGATGAAAATCCGATACATACTGTACCAACTCCTTTTTCTTTTTTTGACATAGCTTGACTACTTGACCTTATATGTGTCTGGCAAAATATCAATATTTATGTTATCTGTGAGATATGTAAATGATGATAGACACTTTTATTAGCTGGAGGGTGTTACCTAAAGGTAAGACTACTTCATGAGTTTATCTTTTATTATTTTGTTTTTAGCTGAGCCAGGGTCATAGAGTTGTTCTCCTGAAATCAGCTTCAAAGATTATTCACGACACACTAAGTACACTGTCACTGGGTTTAGGAAAGCAAATGATCAAGTTGGCATCAGCAGAGATGACCAAGAGCAAGGTAAGAATAATAATGGTAATGATATTGTGTAGGATGAGGAAACTCAACCAGGAACAATATAATTGATTTCATAATTAACTCTCCATACAACTGGTTCTAATAAAATTTAATGTAAATGAATCATTTAGAAAAGCTAGTAGATAGGTTTTTGAGGGCATGGAGGACTTTCTGGGTCATAGCCTTCCAAAGATGCATTTTCTTGCATTTTAGGTCTATTTTCAGTTTGTTTTTAGAAGTGAACTGGTCTTAACAAAAGAAATGAGTTATGTGGTGATGAGTACAATGATATTTCAATACAGGCTGGGTAATACACCATTCCTGTACCCTCTACTCTGCCACAATAACTATGAAGAGTGCTTCTTTCATGAAAAATCCCACCAATTTTAGCCAAAAAGCATCATGCCAGTTGTTATACTTCAATTCAAAAACAAGTTGGTATTTAAATTTTTCCATTATGATTTCTCAGTGAACTGTCTGCTATTACCTGATCGTCTTTTGTTTGCACTGCTTTGGGAGATCAGGGTGAATATAAATCTTGCTATGTGTGAACTCAGCCTATTTGTTATGGAGCATAAGATAGAAATTTAGTTGGGGTTCTTTAAACAACATTAGCTGATGTACAGGAATATGATTATCAAAAAGAAAAAAGTGATATTGAATTTGTGATTTATCACTGTTTAGGAAGTGGAGCCTGATTGGCAGTCTGCAGCCTCTGAGGTGTTGGTTGCTCTAGGAAAGAGGTTTGATCACCAGGTGATGGCAGAGCTCCTGGATAAGTTAGCTCCTGGCACACTACCTCACTACTTTGTTGTGCAGACTCTGGCATCTTTCTCCATTTCTAATCGTGAGTGATAAAACAGTTCACTTTTTTCTGGTGATATAGATATGCTAAAATCTGGAAGATTTTCTTGTTTCTATTTGTCTTCATTCCTCCTAACAAAGGGCTAGCACGCAAAACACTCTATAGTGGCCAATATACATTATCAACTCACTTGATAAAAGCAAATTATCTACCAATACTACCCACTGATGCCATACTACAGATACTTTGGAAACTCACTCCCTTTACTTTCATCTTGTTACTATTAGAACTAGTGGTGGGGATAGAGGGGGGGGAAGAGTAGGTTGAAAGGTCATTACAGAGGGGAGGAGATAGGTAAAATGGAAAGGAAGCTGGAGGTCTTTGAAAGAAGGAATTCATTGAAAGAATACAAAAACTTTAATCTTACAGTCAAATGGTATTTTGTTAATGGTTAGGTATAGTGGGCTTGCGATTAAATTTCTGTTTTGTTTTTCTTTCTACTCAGCCTATGGTGTTGTCCCTTTCCTGAAAGACATCCTAGGTCGCATGTTGCCCATGATGGGAATGGCCAAACAAGACAATTTGAAATGGGTCATTGCTAACTGTAAGAGCAAGAGTTAAATGAGCTTCATGTTGCATCAGATTTAAAATGCAAAAAATGTGGTTCTAGAAGGTTGAAGTTGAAACATTTGTGCCAAATCAGTTACAAAGAACCAGCACATTTGCTTGTTCTATAATCAGGAGTTTGATTTCAGCTTATACTTTAAGCTTCTCTTCAAGATGTACTTGCAGTATACTGTTGCACATTTTTGCATGCATAATGCAAGGGTTGGTTACTACTGACCATTTAGTGGCAGCAGTCTGCTTTTTATCTTTTTTTTTTCTTAGAAAATTGAAACTCAGTTTGACAGATGACTTTCCATGAATGCCTCTTTCCACCTATACTATTGTCCAAATCGTTTGAACTGTATTTCAGATCTCTGGAGAGATTTATTTACTAGATGGACCCTGAAAAGTGTAGCTACTTTCATGTTTGATGTTTTCCTTGCAGGTCTTGCCAGATTTTGTGAGAGCATCATTGACTATGTTGCAAATGCAGAGAGTGCGCCGTACCCTGATATCACAGTTGACAGATTTTATGGTGAAATATCATCAGCTTATGACATTTTATTTAGTGTGTGGATCAGAGCCAGTGAAGCCAAGGCAAGAAAAAGCTAAGAACATCTTTAGTTATTGACAGTACAATACATTGATACTAACCAATGGTTAGTTTTTTTTTAGGTTTGGTTTAGAAGATAATGTTATTTGTTTTTTAGATTAGACTAGCTGTTGTGGATGCCATTGGTCATATGACCCTTATTATGGCAAAAGACAAGCTTGAGGAGCAGTTGCCAAAGTTACTGCCTGGTATCACAGCTCTGTACAAAAAACACACAGAACACTACCTCATTACACAGGTATGGACTCAGTATAAGCAAAATTAATTTCTTTGCTGTGTTGAAATGCCAAGTTTGCTATGATTTCCTTTCCAAAATATTTCCTTCACTGTTAAAAGTTTCTTAAATCAGAAGCTTTATCCGAGTGACTAGCATCACCCATTAAGGTAATGGTCATAAACTGCTCTTGATTGTTACTCAAATTCTTCTCATCAGCACCTCATGATACTGGGAACAGAATGGAGAATATGCGTACTGATGTCATGACATAAAGATTTACACTAAGACATGTTTAACTGCCTTAGACTATTAGTGTATTTCCTTATATTTCTGCAGGGTCTGTGTATGGTTTTGAAAGCCTCTTGTAAAGATGGTGGAGAAATTCTGCTTCCTTTAGTGGAAAATTTATTGGGAGGATTGCACAGCATGGTAAAAATTTAAATTAAATTGTTGTTCTTTTTAATAGTATTTGATTTTTCTGCAGAATATTTCTCTTAGCTGATTTTGATAAGCTTTTCACCTTGTCAAGCATCTTGATGTACTATGTAGAATGATTGTTAAGTTAATTATTTCAAATACTTACTGAAATAGGTGCTTCTGAAAAAAGATCAGCAGAACTGACTGTTTTGTTTTTCACCAACAGACTGATAGATCTTTAATAGATTCCTTAATAGATTCCTTAATAGATTTTACTCAACTTTCATCTTGGCACTCACATTTTTTATTGAAATTTCTGTTCATTAATATCTGGGACATTTAGCCCAGATTCAGTAATTAGCCTAAATTGTTTTTGAAAGGACATTTCAATACCTCAAAATTAAAGGAAAGCTATAAAACCAGGGGGAAAAACAACTGTAAGGGGTAGGGGTTAGAACATATGACAAACTCATCCCATAACATGCAAGGTTGCTGGTCACAGAAATCAACCAATAGGCAGTATTTCAATTGACACTCTAGTGACATGCTTCTCTGTTCCTAATTTGTTATTTTCTAGGCTTGTAACATGCCAGATTTTTCCAATCCAGTCTCAGTCAAGAATCACAATGAAGTTTTAAGATGTTTTTCTGTTCTTAGTAAGTGAATTTAATCTTCGTTACAACACCATTTTATCACTTTTTTTTTTTACCAAATAGTAAAGTGTTATTTCCTTGGGTTTCCAGGATCTAGTCCTTAAAAAATTTTTATGCTTCTTTGCATACTCTCAAGGGCTCTTTATGGCCTCTAGGGCCTGGTAGAAAGACATAATAAGATAAAAATCATCCAACTGAGAGAAATTTTTGCAATGAAGCAGCTACATGTATTTTAAGGCATGTTTTATGCCTCCTGTTCTTCAAGAAAGTGGTAACTTATTGAAATAAAACTAACTGACATACCTCTTTGGTGCTTGTCAGATGCTACTGTTTCCTTCTTCCTTAAATGAAAAAGTCTTAACCACTCCCATGTTTCTTTCCTTGTCCTTTTCATCCCATAGTCCATTAAAATTTTCTCAAGCAGTTGTGATTCTTTTGTGGTCATTCTAATCTCTATTCCAGGTCTCACGAGCAAGAACTAATTTAATAAAATAATCTCAAATGAAGGAATAGTAAACAAATGATGAGGCAAATGTTACAATGATTGTTTCTAATTTTTTATGTCAATATTCAGTAAATTACATCAAAGAGTCTGTAAGTGCGTTACCATCTAACACATAGGAACTTACATTAACTATGTGGTTTAAATGAATCTGTTTTTATCCTTTAGCACCAGCAATCTCAGACCGTGTCATTGCATTTTTGCTTCAAAAGTTGGAGGCTAATTATGAAAAGACTAGAATTGGATCTCTGGCAGTTATTAAACATTTAGTCAACTCCTCTGGTAAGTCCAACATGTTAAATAGCGGGGTAAAGCGTCTCTTTGCATGTCTGTTTTTTTAAATTTATGTTGTATTGGTACACTGCTACTCTAGTGTGAGAGGTTCAGGTCCAACATGTTGGGATAATTATTCAATCTTGTTTAACTTTAGTCTGATGAGACACTTAATTTTACTTATTTTAGGTTCATATTTGGAGAACAAAGAAGAACTGATTATCACAGGCGTGCAGATTCTGTTCAGCGACCAAAACTTGAAGGTAAAACTGCTGATTGAGCAAAAAATTCCAAGTATAATACGTAATTAGAAAACCCAATATTCTGACTACCTATCTTCCTAATTTTGAGTGAAACTTTCTTCTCTGCAAAGACTGATCTTTACAATCTGTCTTCACAAACAAATTCATCGAGAAAAATGGTAAAATTTGCTAATCATCATTCTAAAAGGGGAAAAAATTTCATTAGAGTACATAAAGGCTTTAATTACAGTGGAAGCAATTGCCTGTGATTGGGTATCGAAACCAAATTTGTGTGAAATTTTTATTAAAGAAAAGCAAAAATGCTCTTAAACTCTGGAACGCAATTTTGTAGACGAAGCGGTGAAGATCGATGCTTCCAAGCATTTGATTATTAATTTTTTTCATACATTGTTGTAACGTTATGAATATATTTCCATGGTCTACAGGTGCGGCACATGTTTGCTCAGTGCATAACTGCCATGGCTCATCATCGTTACCTGGAATTGGAGGGCGGCCATAAATTGGTGGAATTTATTGTTAAGCAATGTGCACTGAGCGATGAAGAGGTTGGTGTTTTTCTTTTCATATCAAAAATACAGTTTTCTAATAGCAGCAGTGTGTTTTACTTGCGACATGGAGTGAAGCAATTTTCAATTTAGTGTCCAAAGTATCCGGGATTGCATTGGCCGTACCTTACTTAGCAATGTGATTGGTCCAGAAAACTCGCACTACTCTCTAAACCGATCAGAGGCAAAACTAAAACCACGACTTGGTCGCCCGCGTTTTCCCGCGCTTTAGCCAGATTGGTCTCTTTGAATTAAGTTCTCATTGGCTCTTAAAGGTAATTTCTTTTCTTCTGACTGGCCTTTGGCATTATTTTAGTTTTGGTTTTACGATACTCAATCGAAAAGCGCCAAGTACTCTTCCTAGTTTAAGGCTGTGGGGCAAAAGTATTCAATGCATTATTTCTACAGAAAACCAGAAGACCAACCGACGCAGATTCCATAACTCCTCAAGCTCTTCAAAAGATGTGTGAAAACATTCTTTTCCTTCTGACGACAACAGTGGATGTCATGGAACCTGTAAGTGATAGAGTTATTAAGAAAGGAAAGGCAGGCTTAGATTTTTGCAAATTTGTTGGATTGTCATTCAGACTTCAAGAAAAAAAAAAAGCATAGAATAAGCGCCGCAAAAAATGACTGTCTTCAATCCAACGAATTTAAGCGATAAATATAGTTAAGAAAAAATTGTGCGTGTGTGTGGGAGTCATGTGTAATTTCGCACTCTTTGTATCTTGACTCACTGTAAAATTTCCCTCTGTTGAAAGTAATAAAAGGGAATAAGAATTGAAAATAGTACCTTTCCCATCCTCTTAACGTTCAGCTGTTTTGGAGAAAATCCACAGAAGTGTTTCTCACCAAACACCAAGGAGTCGCCAATGTACATTGTATAGCTCCAACAAAATTCTCTTGAAGTGTTGCACGGTGTTCCTCGAGTCGTGTTCCAACTGCTGTCACTCGTTCCCTTCCTTTGTAGGTGCTGTGGCCATTCTTACTGGAGTGCCTTGTTCCTGAAACATTTACTCAAGCCATGAATCCTCTTTGTCGATGTATTTGTCACCTAGCAACCAAGAAACGAGAGGAGGAGTCAGCGGATTTCAGTATTGATTTTGATGCAAAGCGTAAGTCAGTTATTTGATCATGCATGCATGCAGCTTGGTCGGTTTATTATATTCTCGTCATAAATCAATGGGTACAAAACATTTGTACAGGCCATCTAGGGGCGATTTCTTTGTTTGATGTAGAAGGGTAAGGTTCGAGACAAATCAGGATCCGTCGGAAATACTGAAGCCTTTAAATCTGGTGTATCACATCAACGCTCACTCATAGTTTCCAAAACCTTCCAAATTGATTGAAGCATTTTTTTTTTGTTTTCCTTGCAGAATCTACGGTTTTTTTTTAGATGTTAACACCTAAGATTCTTAAAACTTGTTTTATTCTATGAATTTTATCCCCTATCCTTTACCCTTATACCTCTGTCCTTTTTTGGTCCAAAGTCATTATCAAACTCTTCTATGGCCATACATTAATGAACAAAACTTTTTAAAGCAAGGATAAAATCGAACTGAAGCATAATATGTCAAAGCAACACCCTATCTAATGGCGTGACTGATAGATAATAAACTAGTGTGTTCCATTTCCTTGCAGCCAACATGCCCAAGCCAGCAGCTATCATCTCCCGTCTCTTAGTGAGTAGTGACATTCTTCGTTAATAACTTGTAGCGATTTGCAGCGGATAGCTGACTCGTGGCATTCCTATAACTCGTGCGCAACGGGCGTTTTAGGAAGTTGAATAACAAGTATTTTTCTCTCACTGTCGCCTTACCCGCGCTTCGTTTCGCGCTCCTGTACGGCTTCTATCGGCCGCGCACATCTCAAAGACGATCGGAGGTGGGTCAGAGGTGGAACACTGAATTGACAGAAGCTCTCTCATCTGGGGAGTCAATGTTTGCGGCTGATACGCTCACAAGGGGAAGTTTGCTGCTACTCAAGCATAAATTATTCTTACAATCGAACCACAATCTACTACAACACCCATGGAACATAATACTCAGACTCTGGCCGTGACGCGGTAAAGTCAGAGTGCCTTGCTTTGTTCTCGTGAGCCGGATGTGGCCGGTTCTACATCTTATTAATCCCTCCGTTTTTCTCGTAATTTAATGTGGGACTGTTTGATCTACCTGAAACTTACAGAGAGAGTGTCACCTTTTTTTTGCGTTTTTCAAGCGAGCGCAGGTAGCGTGAAGGACAAGACGCGCGAAGAAGAAGCGAAAAAAAAAAATTGTTTCACGTGTCATTCATTTCGCTTTTCCTGTAAGTTCTAAGTGCGACATTTTTTCATGTTGGATTCTTCACGTGTTTACAGGTTATTATAGTCTTTTCACCCCGTAACTAGCGAACGTTTATACTTATAGTTTCATTAGCGCCTTTTTTGTTATTTTATTGCCATCCTATTGCCGCCCTATTGCTACCTGGCATAATTTATCGCGCTAAGCGCAGTTCAGTTCAGTTCAGTAACGTACCGCCGTTTTCGCTTGTCCTTTTCCTTTCTTTTCTTTCTCTCGGCCTTGGCATTTTGCAGTATCAATATTGGTCTTTTCTGTGGCCGCAACAATGTAAGTGTTTTATAGTCCTCTTTCCGTTGTGTTGTTTGTTATTTCTTTTATATCATATATTGTGTCACGTTTGTAGTTGTTTGTTATTTTAGTTTCAACTTACGTCGTTTACGCCGGTGAGGAGTTGAAGTGAATTGTATTTATTTATTTCTATACGACGTGAGATTTTCATTCCGTGGCCACAAATTTCGCCTAGTGTAGTTTCATTGTTGAAAATTGTGCAGGAACGACAGGACTAGTCAGTTTACGGAGCCAATTGGTGGACGAGTCGGTGCTCGTGGGCAACAACCGAAGCGTATGCTGGACTTGGAAGCAGTTAAGCTGGACACAATTTGCTTGAAGAAAAGTCCGAGATCAGGTCACGCATCCGCCGTTACCGCTAAATCGAACGAAATTATTGGTTTGATATCTGATGACCGGAACCTTCAAGAACTGAAAGAGAAGCTTATTCATGTGGATAACGCTTTACAAAGACCCCGAGTAGCTCATCACGATTATAGCAGCGAGATTCTGGACGAGGATGGCATCGCTGAATGCCAGCTTTACCTTGAAAGTGAAGAAAGAAAATTGGGCTTATTCCACTAGCAGATCGCCGACTGGATAACTGTGACTGCGGAGAAATTCCTAGCAGAATCGCTTCGAGTGGATTCAGTTGTAAAACCTGAATACTAGGTAAGCTGTGCTAGCGCGCCAGAACCATCAAAGGCATCAAGAGCCTCAAATGCTTCTAAGGTTTCAAAACTCTCAAGCCGAGCAAGTTCGCGTGGCAGCTGCACCGCGTCAGTCACAATTGCGAGAGCCAAAGAAGCGGCAAGAGTCGCGGAATTGGAAGCCAAAATTGCCATGCTCGAAAAATGTCAAGCTCCCAAGGAAAAGAAGTTTCGTGTGAAACAAGAAGAGACCCGCCAAAAGTTGGGAGCTGAAATAGCGAAGACATCAGCATAGGAAAGAGCCCTCGCTGCAATGACCACCCCATTTTTACCGCAACAACAGCCAGTCAAATTGGAACCGAGGGTCAATGACCAAGATTCCGCTGTTCCTCCCCGCGTGAGTAGGACTACTTAGGAAGAAGTACCGTATTCAGAGTAGAGCGATCCTTGTAATTTCGTTCTACATGGCCCACATGGTCTTTCTGCGCCCACAGCCGGTGAAGATTTGAGGAGATAGACAATCGAGTTACAACAACAACACTCTTCCATTTTACACACCAGTCCCCGTGGGAAACATACAACAGACGTCGGTGTCGGCGCAGAAGATGACGTTGACGCTCAAGTTTGTGGCAGCATGGTAAACATAGGCAAGGACGCAAAACCTCAGATCTTAAAGGAAAGTGGCAGGACAACCGTGGCCGTGATACCAGTTAAAGTGAGGGCGAGAGTTGGTTGGTAGGAGCGTAGTCACCAACACCTACCTGAACAATGGTAGCTATTCAAGTCTCTGTACAGAGTCGTTGATGAAGTAATTAGAAGTCAACGGTCAGCAGACTAAGATATCCCCATCGACCCTGGAGAAGAAAAACAGTGCAATGAAAAACTTCCTTGCTCGTGATCTTCTTATTTTCGACTTGGACGAGAACGAGTGGATCAGCCTCCCAATGTTGTACACCAGGCCAGAGATCCCTGTATGCTGCGGCGATATTCAAACTCAAGAGGACATTGATCAGTGGCCTCACCTGCAGAGTCTCCCTACCTCATGTCCGTGCCGAAGTCGGTCTCCTGATTGCTAGTGATGTTCCTTAAGTCCTTGATCCACTTGAGAGTAAGCACAGTCAAGACGGAGGTCCGTACGCCTTAAGAACACGTATTGGCTGGGCGGTGGACTGACCCTTAAGTCGTCATCGTCATGATTCGCAGGCATCAGGCTTCTTCACTAAAGCTGATCTTCAGCTCCAACGGATGGTAGAGGACCTTCACAGATTCTATCGTTGATGATAAGACAGAGATGTCTTGGGACGAACGTCGTTTTATGCAAAACGCCGAAGAAACAGTAGAGTTGAGAAATGAACATTATCAAATCTCTTTGCCATTAAAAAATCGTTAGGCACCAGTACCAAACAACATTTCTCAGGCTATGCAGCGCGCAAACTGGTTGAAAAGGAAACTGAAGAGAGAGCCGAGATTGTTGGAAGATTATAAAGTCTTCATGGAAGACATTGTGTCTAAGGGTTACACACGCAAAGTTCACCCGATCAGAATAGCCTCGAACAAGGCAGAGCCTGGTACATAGTTTTGGATCATCATTTTCGTCGAAAGAAGAGTACTCTCCAAGTGTGTCGGCCGCCAAGGCCCAGTTTGTGAACAGAAAATGGCTGACCTCCCTGTTGATCGTCAGACTCCTGACCGACCTTTACGTCCGTTGGGATTGATTGTTCTTTCCAAGTACGCCGTGGTATAAGCCTTGTGGAAAGATAAGGAGTCATTTTTACCTGCTTAGCTGTCCGGGCGGTTCTCATAGAGGTCGCACACATCTTGGAAACAGATTCTTTTTTTTTGATGGCATTAAGACGATTTATAGCGAGAAGGGGCCAAGTTAAAGAGATCAGATCAGACAATGGTACCAACTTCACTAGAGGCGAGAGAAAACTTAGGAAATCTATCATTGCATGGAATCACAACGAAATCTGTCAAGCTCGATTACAGAAGAATATCAAGTGGATATTTAACCCCCATATGAGTCACTACCCGCAAGATAGTTTCAAGTGATTCACAAGACCCGGAGCTTTTGACACCTAACCATTTGCTTCTTTTGCAATCAGAACCTCAGATGCCCCCTGGATTATTCCAAAAGGAGGATTCTTTGTCGCGACGCAGGTGGAGACAAGTGCAATATCTTGCCGACACTTTTTGGAAACGATGATTTAGAGAATATCTGCTCCTGCTCCAGAGCAGACAGAAATGGACATCGCTTCGCTGGAGATCAGCGCGGAAAATTCACCTCGCAACACGTGGCCTCTCGGTAGGGTTATCGAAGTTCTCACCTGCAAGAAAGGTTTGGTTCGGCGTGCCGAGGTGAAAGCAAAGAGAGCCGTTGTGGAGAGATCGATTGATAAACTTTGCCTGCTTTTGGAAGCTTGAGCTTTCCCGCCGAATGACTTTCGTGTATCCCATGACTGCATTTAATCGAGGACTATTGAAAGAGACACTTAGAACTAATTCAATTATAATATAAGTGCCTCGCACGCACTCCGCACTTAGGGGCCGGTATGTAAGTTCTAAGTGCGACATTTTTTTCTTGTTGGATTCTTCACGTGTTCAAAGTCTATTATTTAAGTCTTTCACCCCGTGACTAGCGAACGTTCACACTTATTGTTTCATAAATGCCTTTTTTTGTCATTTTATTGCCACGTTATTACCTCCCTATTGCTACCTCGCATTATTTATCGATGTACATAAAGCAGTAATATGCCTGTCCTCTCGTTTTTCGCGCTTAGCGCAGTTCAATAACGTATCGCCGTTTTCGCTCGTCCCTTTCCTTTATTTTTTTTGGCCTTAGCATTTTTCAATATCAATACTGGTCTTTTCTGTGGCCGTAAAAATGTAAGTGTTTTCTAGTCCTCTTTCCGTCGTGTTGGTTGTTATTTCTTCTTATCATATATTGTGTAACTTTTGTAATTGTTTGTTATTTTAGTTTCAACCTACGTCGTTTACACCGGAGAGGAGTTAAAGTAAATTGTACTTATTTCTACGCGAGGAGGAGTTGTTTATTCCGTGGCCAAAAATTTCGCATAGTGTAGTTTCACTTCCACTACCTACGTGTTTCTCCTCGTGTTCGTCTCGTGCGTGGTTCCGCTGGCCGGAATAACGCAACAAAAACATGAAATGAGGCCTTTCTCAGTCTACCTGGAGCTTTACAATATTAATTTAGGCGAAAGTCTCTTGCGCACACTTTGGGCTAAACCTCGTTTGTAAATGCAGTTTAATTCTTTTCATCACCACTTTACACCTTATTGTTGTTCACAGGTAATGGCAGGATGTCCTCTGCCGGGAAGTGGTCGAGGGGATAACGTGCTGAAGCTTCTTAAGGTTCTTGCACCCATTCTACAACCTAACTTGGTAGAGATGTGGGACACAGTGATTCCTAAACTCATGCAGTATTTAGAAGGTGCGTCAAAACTTCAAGAAATGTGCATCATTGATCAAATTTAACCCAACACTTCGATTTTGGGGTAATTTATGTGTTCGTTGGATATGCGTAATGTTGTTACTCTGTCTTTGCAGAAAACACGGAAGATAAAGAAAAATGGAGTCAAAAAGCTTGGGAGGACTTAGTACTGAAGGTGAGTGAAACGTGACGGAAGACAGAGATATTAGGAAGAGGCTGAGCGCTTTTAGATTGAGTGTCGTAAAACCAAACCCAAAGTAATCACAACGGTCAATCAGATGAAAGGAAAATACCTTTAGCGGCCAATGAGGACTCAAAGTAAAACCCACCAAATTGCTCAAAGCGCGGGAAAACGCGAGCGACCAAGTTGTGATTGGTTTTGCATCTGATTGGTTGAGATAGTGGTGTGAGTTTTCCTGACCAATTACAAAGCGAATTTAAAGAAGAATATTGAATTCCTGGTGAAGCCTTTTTTTTTTTTTAACGGTGATACCACTGAAGTCATTAGCGTTTAGATCCCTTCTCTTAAGGGAGATCTGAGCAGAATTCAGAAATGACTTATCCTTTAGTTGTTTTCTATTTAAACATTGAGGCTACTTTAATCCTTACATAAACTTTAAACTAGAGTTTACTCTAAATACATTCAACAAACTTAAATTTAGATATATCATAAACAAGTTTACTTTTTCACTTATTTGGTCCTCTCTCACCTGTAAACCAAACATCAGTTTGGGAAGAATATTCCCTAGAGTGGAACCATTTCAACAGGACAATTGTTTCTCCATACTGTTCCCTTTATGTTTCCTACTTTCCTTACAAGGAGAATTTGTTTAACGATCAAGAGCTACTTGGGTTCGCGATCGTTTGCTTCATTCTTATGATCGTTATGTTTTGATCCAGGAATGATACTCTGGGGAGAATATAGATGCTTATCACTCGTAAGGGTAGAGGGTTAACTTAAGAAATGTTTGAGAATGATAGATATTTGCCTTTTTTCCTGTTTTCAGTTTGTTTCGAAGAGTGTTGATGAAGTGGATTCTGAGGAATGGGTGCGTTCGCTCGGAACAGAAATGGCAAAACAGATATCACTATATACAAACTTCCCAGAAGAGAAGGTAGTGTATGTGCTACACTCTCATCAGCGTTCGGAGTTTTTCTTTACGTTCTTTCGTCACAGATGAATATCCTGATATTTCATTCGAGGATCAATCTCAAACTCTGTATTTTATCATTGACGACCCCAGTAGTATGCGAGACGCATACCATATAGGCTAAGTTTATTTCCTACTATATCCAGGGCTCTCAGTGGGCCAGTGATGTAGGGGGGAGGGGTAGAGAGGTGTTTCACATAATTTTTATGATTTTGCGTCATGTTACCCATAGCGTTTTTCTTTTTCCTTTTTTTTTCCTCGTCCACAGAACTTCCTCTTTAAGAGCCTTGGTGTTGTTCTGAACAAAGTGGGAAACAAAGATTTTGTTCAAAATCACCTAAACATTATGTTTAGTTCAGTGAAGCATTCAAGTCAACTAGAGAGAGAGGTGAGATTAATGTCTTTTCATGACGACAATGTTTTTAAGCCTTGAGTTCAAATTTACTTAGATGCAATTTTTTCTGCAGAACTTGTAGCACCAAAACTGCCGGTGCCCTTAATGAGGCGCTCAAAGGAGTGAGTCTGTGATGCTAAAATATCTATGTTCGGAAACATAATTTACTTTAATTTTTTTCTTTATTATCATTCCAGGGCTGTGCAATAGGCATCGGATTTTCTGCCAGTACTAATCTTGACCAAGTGTTACTTAAACTGGAGCAGGTGTCTAAAAACGAGATGTCCAAAAAATCTTCAGGAATCTTGAGTTTTATGAAGGTATGATTGAAGTAAAAATCACTGACTACAATTGAACAAAGGGCTGTATCCACATAAAATATAAGGATTGATTTTGTTCGTTTTTCGATCCAACATAATGAGCCATGATGCATATTTCTTGAATTACAGGAGGCCACTTAGCTTGAACATATCGGGAATGCCTTTGGTTCACGTTTTGGTTAAAGGAAAAGTTTCGTTGTCATGATTGGTTAAAAAATGATGCACTTGTTTCTCAAACGTTAGTAAATCGGCCTCCTCCTATCCAGTCGTGTCATGAAACCTACGAGCGACTGCTGACGAGTTTATGGCACAAATGACCGTAAAAGGAAGAAACAAAATGACGTCTCTCTAGCAGAGTGGCGCCTGGGAAAGAGGCGTGTGCAGTGAGCAAAAGCTGGAAATCGATAATATCGTCATTAAACATGGTCAAAACAAGTTAACTTCCTGTAACCTTATTCTTTTTCCCCCTAGGACAAATCCGATTCTGAAACAGAAAAAATAAAGAGCACAGTGATGTTATGCTATGGATACACGGTTCTGTACGGTCCACCAGGGTTAGTAAATTTATATTTACATCCTTTTTTTGCTTCACTTTTCGGATCGTCGACGTGTAGTGTATTGAATTTGGACTTCATTATATTACATGTACGATCCAGTTATGCAGGAGCCAAAAGAGAACAGCTGTCATCAACGTGGGTTGTCTGAACTGTAAACATGTTCACAATCGGTCCAATCAGCATTACATTAGATGTATTGGAGTTGTTATGCTGACGTTACATTTTAATCTTTGATATAAATGCTCAACTATTTTTCCCCTAGTTTCGTTAACAGCACTAAGGGAAGACCTTAAGTTTTTCCTAATCTCTTTTCAGTTTGATAACGTCCAGGCTAGAGACCAGTATTTTTCGAGTCATTAGTCGTCATTATGGAAACGTGAAGGTAAATATGACTTCGGTTTAGAATCTTCATGATGTGTGCTGTTTCCCACCATCATTGATGGCTCATTTGACACATTTTTGCATCCTCAGTGATAATATATCTGTTGAAACAATGTGTATAAATACTTTCACATTTGAGTAGCATCTTTTACCATTAATTTTTCGACTCTCTCAGGACATGCACGTCAAACAGAACCTCATTCGAACAACCGAGCTCATCGGAAAAGCACTGGAACCTAGTCGACTACAGCAACCAGAGTTTATCTTCACGAAACGAAAGGAACTTATCAATCACATGTTGGTGGGTTCTGGAGAAGATTGCAAATCAGTAGCAAATATAATCAAACATTTTATCAGACTTAGTAGAATTAATAAGGAGTTATGAGAATTGTAAGTGCCAAATTGTAATAAGGACTCTTTTGTGTAGGCGTACATGAAAGCAGAACCGCCATCCATTGTCACAACAGAGACTCGTGCCCTGGCGATGGACGCATGCGCGAGTTTAACGTATCCTTTGACGTTTTGTTGAAGCCTATTGCAGTTTTCTTATCGAGATTAAGTAAAATCTTCAATCGTGTTGAATGTGTTCCCATGAGACTCTCCCAAACTAAAGTCTGAGTCAAGTGTCCCATTCAGCCGGAGCTTATCCCGGCTTCCACGGCAAGAAGCGACCAGAAGTATTACTACCCCTTCCCTGGATGGGATGCCGGTCCAGCGCAAGGTTAACTCCAAGCATTTCATCAGTCTTCCCTGATAATTCGATTGGACCTATTTATACTCCTGGGTGGAGAGAGGCAGCATGATTCTTTTTAATTTTTCCCTAAGTTCCTTCTTACCGTTTGGGACAGACTGTATCTTTGAAGTCATGTGTGGTGAACGAAAGTTTAAGGAGACTTTCATATGAAGCATTTTAGAGATCAGGAGGTGTATCGCCTCAGTGGTGCTATTAGGCTTTAAGTATAATTCCCGAGGCTTCCACTCGGATTTGGAATAAGTGGCTGAAACTCGGCTATTGGTTTTCTTTGACTCGCATTTTCTTAACTGAATATTAGGAAACTTAATCCCAGATTCACAGATGCTGAGGTTTTTGAGATTGTTAAAACAAGCACGGACTGTGTATTTGCGGTACACAGTGGAGAACGATCTACTTCCCCTGCAGGAAAACACCAGAAAATTGAAATCGAAGCGGTAAGCACTTTGGGCAATCGTTGTTACCCGAGAATATTCCATCCTGATTTAACAAAAGGAGAGAGGATGTTCATTTGAATTAAGGTGCTTTTGTTGCGGAGACTGAAATAGTATTTTCTCTGAAATCTGATCAACTGTCAACGTTTTCTTTCCTCCTACTCGTTAATTAATGTTGAAGTTGCCAGTTGCTTCCATTATCATGTTAGTCTCCAACAGACATTCACATTCCACGCTTTATTGTTTCTTGATATATCGATTATTTTTTTCCTTAACAGGAGAAAGATCCCAATGTTTTACTAAAACAAGCACTGGAGAGTTTGCAAAAGCTATTGAAAGGACTACTCCTTCAAGATCCGGTCCCACCTACACTTGAGAACATTTTTAAAGTAGGTTAAATTTAACTAGTGACGTAAGACCTTGAAATGCAGCATTGGTTTCAGGTTTTATAAGCCTCTAAGTCATTTGATTATGCTGTGATTCTGTTTGATCATAGCACATTCAAGAGCCCTGGCTAGTGTCCACTGCTAGTGTTGAACGTGAGCGGGCAGTGGATACTATTTTCGCCCTACTGCAGGCATTCCGCGACAACATGCTACTGACCGTGGGAGGGGTAAGTACCAATATGGAATGTTACAAAATGTTAAAAAACAGCTTCGAATGGAAAAGATTACGGCTTTTTCTGATTGAGTGGTTTTTTTTTTTTTTGCTATTTTTGCTGAGCGTTTTCTTATTCCTTGTCTCACTCTAACAAAGGTGAACTTCTTTTTTCCAAAGAAAACTACTTCATTTAGCATGGCTGGTCCTTTGTTGGCTCGCCTCATTCCCCGTTGTACAGATCCGGTCATAATTATCCGACAAACAGCGGTGGACTGTGTACAGTGTGTGCTGAAAATAGCTGCGCGTTTTGAAGGTATTCTCGACGTTTCGTAACTTTATCTCTTCCCTGAACAAGTAGGCCGGCTCAAGGAATTTCAAAACGCTAATCATTTGTCATGTTAATAGTCGATAAACGAGAGCAGTGAAGAAGTTATCGAAAGTAAAAAACTAAAGAAATGCCAGTATATCCCCTTTGTAACTGCTCAACTGCTCGTAAAATCGCGTGTTTCTTTATTGTATAATTAATCTGATGTTGTGTTTGATGATTTCAGGTTATTCTCTGGAGAGTAAGGATGAACTGGTCGATGCATTACCGACTCTCAAAAAAAGAGCAACAGAAGATGATCCCAACATTCTGTTTAGCGTCGCTAGTGACTTGTCTAAGGTAAATTTCTTTCTTCCAATCCGGCGATGCAAATTTCATAGAAAAGACTTCAAAGTGAGGCTATGGTTACAACCGAATTTTGAGTATTTTCAAGTACAAAAGGATAATGCTTCTACTTCGTAAAAACCGTTCATTTTAGGTGCTTTTTGTAGATACATCTTTAATCTTCAAAAAGCCGTGCGTTGATTAGAAGTAAGCACTTCTAAAACTCAGAAAGTGAGTTTTGCTAAGCCTCGTGGGCTAATTTTGGCCAATTCTTCTCTAATTTAGCGGTCCTTCAAAGCGAGGTCGCGTATGAATTTGCCGCGTTATCGGTTATGAATAATTAATGATGTCCACGCATTCTGCCCGATGATTAAGCTGGTCATGTAGTTCACGTTATTGTGTCTTTTTCGTCCCAGGTTGTCGCCAAAAAACTTCAGAGCGAGCATATGTCGTCATTCGTGCTCACTTTGTTGGAAGGTTTAACAGACTGTCAATCTCACAGTTCAAGTGGTTCATGTGTCGTACTCAACAGCATTATCAGGATAAGAGGACAAGAAATAAGGAAAGATGTAAGCATTGACTGAATAGATCAACTAGAACAGTAGCAACTAGCCGCTGTTCGGGAAATGGCGCCCACGTCCCGGGAGGAATAAATACCGGGGTCGATAAAGCGATGGAAAGCGATCCTGCTTGAATACCTTTTCACAAAGACTCTTTAACATTAGGGAAAGAACTCAAAATAAAATGTTTTGTATGCTTGATAATAATTAAGATGGAAAACAAAGCGTATGAGTATAAGCTACAACGTTCGTAAAAGTTCTTGAGGCATTTTTACTTTTGTGTCATTGTTGGTAGCGATAAGATTAAACCGATTAAAGAAAATAGAAGAATTTAAAGAGGGTTGTCGCCCCTTTTTTTTTTACCTCTAGGTTTTATTTAAGTAGTGATCAAGTGATATTAGTTTCCTGTTGAATCGTTTTCAAAACTTATGTGGGCTCGCCATTACTACGTTAACAGTGAGTACTGTGTAATTTGGAAGAAAATTCGCAGCATGTCATAAACTCACTTTCATCAGAAAGCTCACATCTGTGCTGCTACTGGACTGAAACACTTGTGAAAGAGAACATTGTCTGAAATAAGAATATTATTACATCGCTTGTATCATTTCATTTTCATTCTTATAACAGTTATTAATGACGACTCAACAAAATTCTCATTCGTAGGTTGGTAATCTGGTGAAGGAACTCCATACCAGTCTTATGAACATCACACACGCACAGACCAGGACGGGAACTCTTCGCGTATTCAGAACGCTCGCGTCACATCATCTAGTTCCTGTTCTCACGGGACTTCTAGAGTTTCCCTTACCTTATGATCAGTAAGCCTAAGAGTTGGTATTTATTATTAAACTCAAGTATGCCTCGTTAAAATGTCGATATCCGTACGTTAAAGTATGAATAATTGATAATTTTTAGTAAGAGAGATCTTATCTCTTTCCAAATTGGAAAGCTACGATTTTTTTAAAGTTCTAAACTTGCCCTTGAAGTGGAATGGTATCTAGCCAGATTACTCTAAAATGACCCCGTTATTTCAATGACAAGTTGACGTAAACAGAAGGTACTAAAGCTAAGTTTGCAGGAGTAAGTTTTGATAAAAAATTCAGACATCATAGGAAAATTGACTCTGATGGTGACTTCCACTCACCATGTCAAAACGTCAGTCGTTGCTACCGACAACAGATTCGTGCAGGACCACTCTTACCTGTCCGATCAGACTACAGCAAAAAAAAATTGTCGAGGACACTTATCAAACAAAACTTTCTAGAGTATAATTTTCATTTTTCTTCCAACCCCTTGCAATCCCTTTTCGTGTCATGTACGCTAAGACAGGATTTATACTTGCTGTATTTAACAATGCTCTGTTGTTTTAGGCACGTGCTGGATATCTGGAAAACAATGGCCGGCGAGTCGAACCTATCCCTTAGCATATTCGACTACATTCTGGATTTATCTCTGAGGTCTCTGCCATACCAAGAGAAACCAAACCCTAAAAACAAAAAGGAAACTATCAGAGTAGCGACTGCACAGCCTACTGCGGTGAGCTATGATACCTTCCTGATCTTAAGTGACAGGTGCACACTTCTGGGCAGCAATTATTTTTTATTGTTATTTGTTTTTTTACCGTTATCGTAAGCTAATGAAAGAGTGACAATCGTGTCTCAAAAGTGACGCTGACGCTGAGTGACGTTCCCTCCGACAGATCACGTGTGGTTTGACTGAGATGTTACGTTCGGAAGAGAATGGCGAAGTGGTCTTGGAGCATTTTCCTCGGCTCTTCTCCATGGCCCTGGTACGTCTAGGTACTTCGGTGAACCTGCTACCTCCTGAGCCGCCTCAGTCTTCAGGAAAAGACAAGCAGAAGGGACCAAAAGTGGACCCTTTGGCGTAAGTCCTCCTCTTATGTTGTAATATAAAGTTGCCAACGCAAACACTTCTTTCTGGTGGTATGATAAAACCTCATACTGAACAGATCCAGCGTTAGTTGCCAGCGCAGTTCTGAACCCCGTCTATTCAATGGTATTCTTTAAGGTGTAAGTTGCTAGTCTTGGATTACTCACGCACGCTTGCAGGTTATAAGAGCACGATTTGGAAGAATTATGTAAATTCAGTCATTATGGGGTCGTGGGCGGGAATATAAGAGAAAAAGTACTTAGCGAAAATTTGTGTTGGAAAAGTGCGTGCAGGCTTTAAATTGCGGCGTATTAATGAGGGACTTTCAAATGCTGTGGTTGAAGCAACTAGAATTTGTATTTGTTTATCATCAAGAACTGCGAAAGTATTTTGTATTTGTTTTTATTTCTATTCATCGAATTCGCGTTTTTGCGTGAGGTTATTTAAGGTTTACGTAACGCCGGTGGCCAGTATAGGCATTTTTGCTAGATATTTTCATTAGCTAGTTGACCACAACTAGGGCAGTCGTTCCGTTGGTTTTTGCAAGCGCCGTAGTACTTTTGTTTAAGAGTTTTTGCCATCGGATCAGGTTAACGCCACAAATTGTAAGTTCATTTCTGTTTCATGGAGCTTTGTTGTTATTCTTTTCGTTATCATTTTTGTACTTGAAAATTTATCTTTATTATTAATTTTCAGTCGAATCACATTTACACGTTTACACATTTACACATCTTTCGTCTTTACATTTATCTATCTTGAAGTTATTAACATGCATTCAAGTTTAGCGTAAACCTGTAGTATTTAGCTACACTTCATTCGAAATTTTGTGCATGTATTGAATATGGATGGCACCGGTGATTTCTTTCCGGAAAATGATATTGGAATAGAAAGCAAGACAATTGATACGGCAACGCCCGCTCTAGGGTTTTCGCTGATGACACTCCTGTAACGGCGAACGTTAAAAAAAGTAAACGGCGTTCGCGTGCTGGTTATCAAGAGTTCATGTCATTTCTCTTTTTAGAGAAACTGAAATTTTACTCCTTAACAAGCAGAAAAGGGAACTCGTCAACAACAATCTTAAAGTTATCCATGTAGTTTTTCAGGCATTTGAAAGATTCTCCGCACTGTCGCGCTTTGTGTTCAGCAGATAACTTTCATTTTTTAGATTACGCCTCTACCGGTTTTCAGCTTAAGATAAAAGAGGTTATTCATATTCAAGGAGAACAAACATCTTTGAATCAACAATTACACCATGTAAATCTAAAACTCTTTTAAATTCTCACACTTGCAGCTTTACCTCTTTTCTTGTGGTCACTATTCATCATAATTAGCATTGTTCTACTTACTATAGAATTCAACTTTCAACGCTTTGTACAGTAATTAACTGAAGATGACAGAAGTTTCTGTCGAAACATTTTTTGCAAACTCAAAAGTTTTGTCGCTTTCTTTAAATATCCATGCAGTATTTGCAAATTAGGAACAAGCGGCATATTTCCTATATGAAAAGCCTCGATAATATGGAAGAGATACGGTGGGCAACTCTGGAGTTTGAAAGTCGTGTTAATGATAAATTCAAATTCAATCAAGGCGTCGAGGAATGGATTGCTAGCTTTACTGTACAGACATTTTTATCGTTGGACGACATTCGACCAAGAGATTCTTTAGGTCATCACAGCGCTTCAAAAACAAAAAGCAGACAGCGTTGAAGTTCCCGCTTAAGTGTGAAAATAGTGGGAGCGAAGGTCAAACAGGCGGTTTCTAAGTTACGGTTACAGCAAGCAAAGAAAAGATTAGAATTAAAGAAAAGGTGCGAAGCTTTACTCCGGCAACAGGAACTTTTAGACGCACAGAACAACAAGGAAACAGCTACACTCGAAGCGCGAATTTTGGAAGCCAGCATCAAAGAGAAAAGGTTTTTAGTGCACCGTCGTTAAATTCTGAGTGCGTTGGAAAGAAATCCTCCGTGGATAGACCGAATGAGGTGATACCTCTTGGGTCGAGTCGTGTCGCAACTCGTTAAGCGGAATATTTACCTGGTACAGCTTCACATGGTAACCTGTTGAATCCCTATTATCCTCAATGGTCTGCCAAATCGTCTGATGGAAGTTTTTGGCAATTTGTAAAACAGCAGCAGCAGCTGATGTAGTTTCAGCAGCAAGCGTGTCAGTCTATGGCATCGACGATAAGGCAAGGACTTTCTTTGCCTAAACCCGATCTCAGTTCGTACGACGGCAACCCCCTCGAATTTGGAGTTTCATGCGATCATTTGAAAACAACATTAAGAAGAATACGTCAGATGAGGATGAAAGGCAGACCTTTCTACTCAAGTATTGTACTGGCCACGCAAAGACGCCATCAAGAGTTGTGTCACCATGGATCCCACGTCGGGGTACCGAACGGCGAGGAGAGTTCTTAAAGATCGCTTTGGTAACCCCTTCGTAATTGCCACTGACCACATCAACCAGGCAACACGTGGACTACCTGTGAAGCCTAAGGATCGGAAAGGATTATAGACCTTTGCAGATCAGTTGAAAGACTGTCAAACGGTGCTGGAGTCCAGGGCGTGAAATTAACTTTTTTTTTTGATAGCCACTTGGCTCCTAAATTCTTCAAAGTGGTAGCCAATTCAAAAAAAGTTGGTCGCCATTTTCAAAGACAAACAAAATCTTTCTTTACGCTGTCAGTGTTCTAGATAGACCCTCCAAAATAAGTTGGGGAAAAGATCTTTAACGTGCTACAAAGTGGACACTAGGATGGATGATATACAACGTTCAGGCTCATCTAAATCCAAGATGGCGTCTAGTTATCGATCGAGATGCATGTGCTACGTTTTGGAAACAAACTTAACGAGGAAGTTTGCCGCGGATTTATCTTTGCAAATCTTTTTAATTCACTATATCTCTTGGTAAGGTTATGATGAAACGTTCTAGTCGCCAATTTGGCGACTAACTTTCAGGATTTGGTCGCCAAAGTGAAAAATTTAGGCGCATTGGCCCCTGTATTAGGCGTAATTTCACGCCCTGGAGTCAATTGGATATTTGAGTGAAAGTGGACAGCATTCATGAGTCCGGTCAGCGTTCCAGGATGCATCATTTTTCAAGTTTCGTTTCAAAAAGAGCCCGAGCTGCTAACAATCCAGTCTCGAGTGGTGTGCTTTATAGCGAAAATGGTAAAGGCAAAAAGGATACATCGGATAGAAGGCCGAGACCTCAAAATACAATGGCAACTTCTTACGCAGCGCATGGAAACTCTATAAGACCCAGTTCCTTTGTACCACTAGGAAGGGAAATTCAGAATTGTCAGCCCTCCTGGAGACAAAGACGTAGTGGGAATGGGAAATGTTTGCTTTGTGACGCACCTCATTAATTACTGATGGAATTGTGAAATGTTTAAGAAGAAACCCTTTTGAAGATCGAATGAAGATAGTTCGTGACGCAAAACGCCGCAGCAATTGTTTTAAAGTGACACACTTTGCAAGTGGATGCATGCAGAAGAGTGGATGTTACATCGAAGGTTGTACTGGAAAACACATGACTGTTTTTCACCCCCCGGAACGTTATTTACAGACGAGGCGAAGTAACGGGACGAACAACGACGACGTCAAGGAAGCTAGCCCTAACAACCAATCCAATGTGAGAGACGCTTCAGACCACACCAGCCCGAATCACGCAATTGGGGCTGGTGTCTGTAAACCAGGAAGTACTAGTAACGCTAGTGCAGTTTGGAGGAAAGTACGTTTGAGGGTCGTCACTGTGAGAGTGCAAGGAAAGCAACCAGGACAAGTAGGGGAAACGTACGCATTGGTAAGCAATGGTTCCGATGTGTCTCTTTGCGATAAAAGGCTCATCCAAGAGTGAGGATTTAGCGGAATCCGTGAGAATTTCTACCTAACAACGCAGGAGAGAAGAAACAGTGCAAGGACGGGATTCGAGGTTAACCTGATCGTCAACTCGCTTGATAGTGGATCAAGTTTAGAAGTACCTAAAGTTTGGACAGTGGAGCGTCTCAACATTTCCGAGCAAAGCATACCAGCAGACCGAGATGTAAACAGATGGCCTCATCTGAACAGAATTGAAATCCCAGAAATTGAGAACAACGGGGGAAGGGGGTCCGATTACTCATTGGATGCAACGCACCTGAAGCTTTTTGGGTTCTCGAAGAGAGACGTGGTAATAAAGGTGATCCAGTGGGTATTCGATCGTTACTAGGCTACACGATAATAGGACCAACCCAGAAAATTGGAGATCAGGAAAGCGTGAATGTGAACTTCATACGTTTGGAAAGCCACAATGATGATAAAAAATCCTTCTAAAGCAAGTGGAGAAGTTTTGGACAACTAACTTTGTCAATATCAATATCAACTAACGATTCAATATCAAGTACGAAAGTGTCTATGTTATGAGAAGATGAACAAGCTAAAGAATAATGGAGGGATCTTCCAAGCTTGCGTCTGGTCATTACCAAGTAGCACTTCCGCGGCGAAAACAACCACATTTGCCAAACAACAGAATCCTTACATTTAAAAGATTACAGCTGGTGAAGAAGTTTCTTCGTGATGCCAAATTGTTTGAAAGCTACAAGAGGACTATTGATGACTACATCACAAAGGGCTACGCCCAACGAGTACATAAAGAAGAGCTGGATGCCGATGGCAAGCCTCTCTGGCATCTTCCACACCATGCCTTCTTCGATCCTAATAAGTCTGGGGAACTGAGAGTGGTGTTTGACAGCGCAGCGCGACACAAAGGGACATCGCTCAAGGACCAACTACTAGGTGGTCCAGACTTGTCTAATAGCTGATGACTTACCTAGCGAGTCTGTTGAGCACGGAATGAGAGTACACCTTTTTGGTAGAAGCTGTGCCAGTTTTGGTCTTCGAAAGACGGCTCAAGATAATGTAGAAGACTTTGACCACGAAGTGATCGACACAATATTGAAGAACTCTTATGTGGATGACTGTTTGAAATCTGTGCAATCAAATGAAGTGACCAGTAAATTGAGAGACGATTTGTGTACCTTGTTGTCAAGAGGTGGATTTCAATTGACTAAATGGTTGTGTAACCGGAGGGACGTACTTGAAACTATTCCAAACTCAGACTGAGCTTCATTAATTTTGGATTTGGATTTAAATCCTGACGTACTTCCTATTGAAAGAACCCTTGGTTTTCGGTGGAACATGAATAGCGACATGTTTACCATCAAGATAGTACCAAAGGATAAGCCCTTTACACGAAGAGGAATTCTATCTGTGACTAGCCCTAGTTATGATCCACTTGGCATGGTGTCACCCATCACCTTACAAGCGGAAAAGTTCCTTCAAGATCTCTGCAAAAAAGGACTCACCTAGGATGAAGAGATAAGAAGAGAGAAATTTCAGCCTTGGAGACGACGGCTATCTGTTGATCCACTACCTTGTGGGAGGCTGTCGATAAATGAATTAAGACATGCAGAAGCTCAAATCATCAAGTACGTGCAAAAATCAGCTTTCTCGCGAGTGGTTAAAGCCCTCTTAGACGCGAGTCCAGAAGAATCCGAGAAGCGTAAATTGAAGATTATCGGCTCATTTGGTTCGGCGAACAAATTAAGACCATTTCTGGATGGAGAAGGGTTAGTGGTCGGATTCAAAATTCTTCATTGGATTACCAATCGAAAAATCAATTGCTGTTACCCTCAAAGCACCATGTTACCAAGCTGCTCATCGTGGGCATTCATGAGTCGGTGGGTCATCTAGGCCAAGAATATGTCCTTACCTGTTTGAGACAAAAGTACTGGATTGTCAAGGGACGGGCAGCTGTTCAAAGAGTACATGCCGGAAACAAAATGCTGCAAAGGGCCAACAATTCATGGCAGATTTACCTAGCGACAGGCGTATTCCAGATGAACCCTCGTTTTCTAACGTTGTTATAGATTTCTTTGGTCCGATGTACGTGAAGTAAGGTTGAAGTACAGTTAAGCATTACGAATGTCTTTTCTCTTGCTAGCTATCCGAGTAACCCACAGTGAAGTGATCGATTCTTTCGAAACAGATTCGGTTATCAACACTCTTCGCAGATTCATCAGCAGAAGAGGAATGCCAAAGATGATAAGAAGTGACAATGGTACGAACTTATGTCGCGGAGACAGAGAAATCCGTGAGGCTGTAAACAACTGGAATAAGCAGAAAATAGGTTTTCCTACACCTGAAGAATATCAAGTGAAAGTTTAATTCCCCTGGAGCTTAACACGTGGGAGGAGTCTATGAACACGTGATTCGTTCTGTGAGAAAGATCTCAAGAGTCCTTCCTAAGCAACTATTGCTTTTTCGGAGAGGCATTGCGAACTTTGGTGGCAGAAGTTCAGGGAATTCTCAATGGCCGACCAACCGTGGCAGTCCTATTGATTCAGAACCATTGACTTCTAACCATTTGTTACTTCTTTGATCGAATTTAAATTTGCCGCCAGGAGTATTCTGTAAGAATAATTTGAACTGCTGATGTCGCTGGAGGCAGATTCATTACCTCGCTGACGTGTTTTGGAGATGGTTATCGGAATATATACCAAATTTTCGAGAACGGCAGAAATGGATCAGACCACGTCGTAATTTTGCTGTTGGTGACCTGGTTTTAATTGCTGAGGAAAGAGTTCACCGCAGTCAGTGGCCTTTTGCTCGCGTCCTCGAAGTTTACCCGAAGTTTACCCAGTCAAGGTGGCGACAAAGTCCTCTACATTCACAAGGCCAATTTCAAAGCTTTGTTTCCTCGAACAAGAGAGCTTACCCCCGACGAAGGACTCTACTTACTTTACCAGACTATCGTGTTGTTTATTGAAACTGAAAGGCCTTTGAATTTGTGCACCAGATGTGCATGAACTTTGAACACTAGCGGACTTACTTCAGAGACTCTAATGTTAATTATTATTCAATTCTAGTCGCCCAATACTTTAAGTGAACTTAATTTAGTTCAGGGGCCGGAATGTAGCTACTAGAATTTGCACTTGTTTATCATCAAGAATTGCAAAAGTATTTTATCTTGTTTTTATTTCTATTCATCAAGTTAGCAGTTTTGCGTGACGTTACGTAAGGTTTACGTAGGTAGCCAGTAGAAGCGTTGTTTTCCTAGATAATTTTCACTTGCTAGTTGACCTCAAGTGGGGCAGTCGTTTCGTTGGTTTTTGCCAGCGCCATGGTACTTTTGCATGAGAGTTTTTGCATCCCGACCTGGTTACGCCACAAATTGTAAGTTCATTTCTGTTTCATGGAGCTTTGTCGTTACTCATGTCGTTATCATATTTGGACTTAAATTTTTTTATTTTATTTATCTTCAGTCGAATCACATTTACACGTTTATACATTTACACATCTTTCATCTTTACATCTGTGTATCTGGGAGTTATTTAACGTGCATTCAAGTTTGGTGTAAACCTGTAGTATTTAACTTAAGTGGTCTTTCGATTCATCTTTCAGTGGACGCGCTGTAAAAGTAAGTTGTCTTCGTTTTGTTTTGTTTTGTTTTTAACAGCATTGCACTCGAATGCATGAAAGAACTCATCAGTAGATGCAAGTATGACACACTGATGCAATTGATCGACGACGAACATGGATGGGCGTTGTTTAGAGATGAAAAAACTTTCCCTGATGGCGTCTGTGCTGTCGCAAGGTACGTACTGGAATAATTCGATCACATTAGAATTTACAGTGAAGCCCTTCTTATTCTGACTTAAACTATACATTCTTTTATATATTTTGAAACTCTGGATTTAATAATCACTGGGGTGAACAGGGGATTAATTGTCGCACGATGGCGCGAAGATTCGAAGTTTTTGCCGAGAGAATAAAAACAAGAATTATCAACGAGTGCGGCGAACGATTTAAATGATGCTATACCATGAGTGACTAACTGTTGAACACATTTTTCAATATCTTAACTTCAGAAAGTAACATTTTCGACACTGTATATTCTAACACCAGCACAGCTACACATTTTACAGCCTTCAAAAATAAATTTTTACTCCATAAATCGGCAGTGATTGGAAATTCCCGCGCATAACCTTATACAAGACGAATGAAAATTTTCATTTTCACTGATGATAATTCGCCGTATTCTATCCTTTTTTCGTTCAAACTCGCTGCTTTTCTGTTCAAGGAATTAAAATATTGCTGTTTCTCCTTGGGATGACAAAAAGCGTAAAGTTCCTGCGCTTGCGCCGGGCTGAATTGGCGATGTCCCCGGTATTTCATCCACCCTTATTTTTGACGTGGACAGAGTCATCGCTCACACAGAATTGTTGATGCTCGTGGCGAGTTCTTCGTGTAGTTAGTCACTGATGTTGGTAACTCTGTTCTATGTTTTAGGGCCCTCTGTAAAGCGGTCCCTCATTTAGTTCCTAAAGTGGTTGATCACCTGAACCCTATATTGTCAAGTGTCTACGATGCACAGAGAATCGTGGCAGCAGCGTTTATTGCTGAGGTATGATAAATGGCTGTCAAAGCCAAAATCCTTGTAGCTAGCCCTCAGAAGCGCTCCCTCAGATCAAATGCCATCGAGCTCGTTCAGACATTACGATCTTTGTATGGTTTTCCAACAAAGCCCTTTTGTAACTAGAAAGTAAGACAAGTGAGATGTAACTACGAATGCTTCAAAACCTTGAGAAAAATACAAAGAAACTACTTGAGGCGGGTCTTAACAGGGTCAACTTTCAACTTTCGATGTACAAAATTTTCTTTGATCAGGCAAACACGGGACTTAAATCGTCAGCCAAAAAGAAAGCTAGCTAAGGCTCTTTTTTATCTGTCCCTCGCCAGACTTGGTCCATTCCAAACTATTTTATTTCTTTCTTGTGCATGCGGCCATATTGTTTGGTTTTCTCGTAGTTGAAATTAAATGGGATTCTTTAAAGGAGAACTGAAGCCAAAAATTGAGTTAATTTCTTTCGATAGCCAAAGTGACGAAATTCTCGATTTCAAGCGTTATTTGTGCTAAATGTGTCTTACCTTGGAGAAATATTTCTTTAAAGTTTGTATTTTCGCGCTGTTTCGGCTTTCAAACCGTGGGCACCAATTTTAAATCAGCGGTCTTCCAAATGAGCCTGTGACGTATGTTATGGGGATCACATTAGAACGTGTTATCGTTCAGCTAAGTTTTAATACAAATTGCGTCTTCGTCGACCCTTCGTTATGAGCGGAATAGAACCATTTCAGTTCGAACCAGTTTATCAGCCTGGAGAAGAACCACCTCAGGAAGAGAGTGTAGGACAGGAGGTAGAAGCCCACGAAGAAGACAATACTTCGAGGATGGGAAACACCGAATGGTGTTTGTGCGGCGCTTGTGCGCTTATGCCGGTGGCAAATGAATGTTACTGCTGCCAAGAACTAGAGGAGCTTAATCAAAAGTTCGACAATTCAGGTTTGTACTTATTATGTGATTATTCTCACGAGTATTTTGTTTTGAGCGACCGCTTCTTTGCTAAGAGTGACAAAAGGTGGACAATTGCAAACTCGATCTTAGTTGTAATTGCAATTACATGGTCTGATGGATGAAAATTATTGAAACAGTGAGGGAAATAAAATGTTAAGACTTTTTCTTCTTGATAGGTGTTAGATGTATAACAGAACATCCGAAATTTGGTATTGTATGCCTGGACACGGATGTTTTGAGCACGGCATTGGTTGCAATCCACAATGCGCGGCTCAATCCAATTCCCGACCCTATCGTCAACAGGTAAACTGTCTTTTTCTTTCTTATTTTGTACGCGTAATTAAGTCAATCGCTTTTGTGACTTTATATCCTCTTGTTCTCTAGAACTTGGCGTTTGGCAGCCTACAGACAATTTACTTGGTGGGCACATGGGGTATTAGGAAAAAACCGGCGGAGAATCGTGCCAGCATGCGTCGTCACGGCCATACGTAAAACATTTCCAGAAGAGAGTGGTAATTACGTGGGGTTTCGAGAAGCAGATCTGGAACTTTGAACTTTATCCGTAATGTCCTTTAAAAATGATTAGTAACATATCCTTTCCGTGTATAACACCAGAGGCTCTTCTTTCCTTATGTTACGGTTTCTTTCTAAAATTTGCGTGAAATATACAATTACTTATCGAGGATATGAATTACTAACACATTTCTGCATAGTGATTCAGTCAAAAGCCATGCAGAGCCAAACGAATGTCATCCCTACTGCAGTTATTAAATTGTCCACATTGCCAGGGATAGCTGCGTGGCCTGAATGAAATAAACCTCAAACCTACCTTTGATTGCTTTTTGCTACGATGATTGCTTTTATTTTCATTTGATTGTGTTATTGACAAAGTTGTTGTATTTAATTATTCAAAAAATACTTCAAAAGTATGATTAGCAATGACATCTGCTTTAGGAGGCCGGGGTTTGCTGGCAATGTTTTCAGGAATGTGTGGTGCTGTGACTGTTGCACTCCTCTCTTGTGGTTTTAAGCATTTTCTCTCTACAATGGCATTAAGCATTGGCTTGAGATGATAATTGGTTGTCTTCTCAAATATGGGCTTCGCCACCCATTCTTTTGTATTTTTGGAAACACTACCTTGTATTGCAGCTCCTTGGTTGGCACCCCTGGATACAGTGGCTTGTTGTCTACCAGTGTTGGCATTATGGTCTAGGGCTGCCAACTGAGTTCGAGCAACCATGCCATTATAAGAGAAGTGCTGCCGTTTGGGTGCATATTTGGTCTGCACACTATGGTACACCTCTAAATTGCCAGTATGACAACTTAGTGTTAGTTGCTGAATGTCCTTCAACAGATTTTTATCGAATACAACCTCCTTCAATGCATTATGAGCAGAGGAGCCAGGCCTAAGCCACCTTTTAGTTCTTGCGATAGCTGGAGGGATTGGTTGGTGGGCACATTCCTCATACAGGTCAGCTAAATCCCAGGAGTGGATATTGGCAGTGTGATAGACAATGGATATCCACTTCTCTCTCAACATCTCCTTGTCTCCCCATATGTTTTGGCACACCACCAAAGGTGGTTTGAGATGGATCTGATCCAGAGAGAGAGATCAGCACATTCTCTCTTCTTTGCTTTTTCAGTTAACTTTTTAGTTATACTCTTGGAAAGGTGCCACACATCAAATTGATGATCAACTTCAGGGAAATTTCTTTAAGTTCTTATTCACATAGAAGTAAAGAAGGCTAAAAGAATTCATTATTTAAAGAATAATATCCACAACTTATATATAGTCTACTTGTACTAATTTTTTTCACCTGCTAATTAACAAGGGACAGGTATAATGTTCCTTGAATTAAAGAATAATCCTTTTATTCTGAAACAATTTAATTTTGTTTACCTACTGGTCAAAAATTTTCAGGAGAGACGAAGTACAAAGATTACTCAAAAAAAAAACATGAAACTAGAAGGAATTCCATGGCAGGATATTGTTTTGCTTAAGGAGAAGAAATACTTATCTGCGAAAATTTAATGTTTCTCAATGGAACCTATTTGGGTGATATCCCTTAAGATATAAATTGTTATTGCCCCCAAACTGCATTCACCTTTCAATTTTTTTTATCAATCATGCATAAATGAAGAGCAGCTTCAAGAGTTTGCAACAACCCAAGCTTTGCCACAACCCAACCCAGTTGCAAGAGAGCAATTCACGATTCACTTACTTCTTTTCTGACTTTCTCTTCTGAACGTTTCTCTGATGAAAGTCGAGGTCTTTTTGATGGTCTCCGATGCGAAAAAACCGTGGGTATTGCACCTGGTTTTAGCGTAGATCTGGGTTTCAAACCAAGAATTTCTGCTTTCAGGTCTCGTTCGTAGCAGTCAGGTGTAAAATGTTCTGAGCACAGCCTGGTTTTTCGAAACGACCAGATCCGCTCGTGAGATCTTTGCCAGCCACTGTGATCGTAGAGCTTCATCCCTCGGAAAGCAATGGTAGGATATACCAGTTGTGTACCTCGAGTCGTTGTTACAATCGAACGCCGCGCAGTATACCATTTTTAGCTCGAAAGTAATCGAAGTAAATATAGCAACGAGGGCTACTCAACCGCCAAGAACAGATAGAAGAATAAACTCAAACAACTCGGGCTTCCGTATTTGTACATCCTTTCTTGCGTAAGCCAAGAATTTAACCCATTATAGAGAACTTATAAACCAAAGTTCAACACGAATTTCAAAATTTTATTTCGTTTTGGACTTCTTGCGACATTGTTAACAGCTTGCGTTATCGTACATGCCATTGCAAAATCCAGACTACAAACGCGTTGCAAACTAATGTTAAAAAAGGTAAATAACAAAATATGGGAAACAGAATGGAAGATGAAATATCTTAAATTACCAGTATGTAAGAAAAATTAAAGTGGAGACCCTATTCCGAAAACATCGAGGTCAATCCAAGTATAAAAGATGCGCCGCACATGATCTGGACAAGTAACTACGTTTCAGAGACACAGGGTTACGAAAGCCAAAATATTTTTCTCTTATACAATCCCTGGACAGAAGACCAATTTTCTTATATGAGAGGCGCTTGAATCATTTTTTGCTTCACCTTGCACAATCTTTACTCCTGGAAAACCACAAATTCTTTCCCGCGAGCAAGCCGCAGTCCTGAATTCAACTTGCCTGTTTCTTGCTGTGTTTACCTTCATCCCCATAACCTACGTCACACACTACAAAAAGAACCGCTGACATTCGTGTTCTGAGCCGACGTACCACAGTCAAATGTCGAGCCAATTATCACTAAAAACCCTTCGTTTTCTGGATGAAAACTGTCGTTCGAGGGAAAAAAAATGACGGAAATTTGTTCCATCATACATAAATGTACGATACACGGTGAAAAAAATTACATGAATTTGGACTTCAGTTCTCCTTTAAACAACCTCGCTAATAAAAATATGGAAAAATAACAAACAAAGCAAATACTTGGCGGCTAATTTTGTTGTTGTTGTTGTTGTTGTTGTTTTTTATCTCTTTGTTCTTGTATGACGTGCAGTTAATTGACCAGAAATGTGGCGGTAAAGTGGAAGTAGTAAAAGTCCTGATGAATAGTCTGCTAGGCCGATTGGTGGATACGTCACACGTGGTTCGTAAGTTCTGTATCAGAGGACTGGGGAACATTTCCAGTGTGGAAGACTCTCAGGTAATGCGCGCGCATTATTTAGTTTGATATTTACTGTCTTGTTCCGCAAAGTTCTTCTTGTCCGTGGCCAGTGGTCGGAAAGAAGAGGCTGAATGGAGGCCGCTTTTTAAAAAAATGTGATTTTTTTCGTTGAAATTTCCTGGACGTAAACATTCGCGTGGTAACGAAGGTATTAAGTTATTGTTAGTTTGCCAAGTCGGGATCAATTTTCAGACAGAATAGTTAATCAAGTCAGGAGAAATGTTCTGTTAAATGCAATGTAAACCAAAATCCAGTTAAATATTTTTTTCTTATAAAAGAGAAAGTGCAGCTTCTAGAGCTTAAAAGATATTCGTTAAAATTTTTCCACCTTTACTCACCGTGTTTCTTGGTCATGAAATAAGTCACTGCGCCTGAAAATGACATCTTTTGTAATTCTACAGCTTGAAAAATATTCCACCACAATCCTGTCTGCGATGATGGCGGGTATGGATGACAAAGATGATTTAGAGGACGAAATAACACTGGAGTCAATGTCAGGACTTGCCAAGATTCTGGCAAAACTGGATGAAAATAACGTGCGGCAAATACTTATTAACATTTGTCTTAGAATCAGACCCTGCTTTGAAAAGGTGGGTCCCATAATCAAACAGTGTCATTCAAATGGCTTAATTTGGTTCCCTTATTATTTTTTTTGGGTGGGGCGGGGTGGGTTTACTTTGAACGGTTTGTGGGGATTTCCTTTAGCGAATTGGAAATAGAGACCTTTAGCAAACCACGACGGCGACGTCAACGAGGACGTGGCAAAGCAAAAGATCTAATGAGTAGAAGAATAGCTCAGATAGCTCAGTACGTGCGTTTTGAAACTGTACATTTCTTAGCGGTCCTCTGCAAATAACAACGTGAAATCACCAAAATAAGCGTGGTCTGAGGAAGGAAACCACGATGGCAAATTATTTAAGTTTCCATTTGGAACTCAACGCTGCCCTCATACGTTATGCTGAGGTTAACTTGCGCCGCCGTAAGAGATGGTAAACACATTCAGTCATTCGCGAAATTCTATCCAAAAATATAAATTCATTTTCAAATCGACGTTTTTCTTGGCGTTGCCGTCCTAACTGCTGAAGGTCCCTAATTTTTATTTTGGGGAACAACTTTTTTGCCATTTCAGGAGACTGAAATATCTGTTTGAAATAAAATTTTGGGATTTTCTGTTTAAGCAGCCGATTCACGCTGGCCTATAGGAGAAATTCTGAAGGTTTTGGTCTCTTTTATGGATAAACAGTCAATATTGACGTATTTTGCCAGCATGCGATCTTTATCGCTCCAGTAACGCAAGCTTCTTAAAGCGGAATTCTTTACTGAACCGTAGGACGTATTTTTGCAAGACTTTGTATATCTACGAATTATTGAATTGACCTATATAAAATTTCAATTACATTAAATTTATTTTTGATATTTATTATTCATTATTTACAGATTTTTCTTTTAAATTTTGAAGGAAAAAGATGCTGTTCGAGCTGCGGCCTTTACCTTATTTGGTAAACTGTCTCGTTTCAGTGACGGGCCGTCAAAAGCCCCGTTCCTGGAGCAAGTTCATACGAACTTTATAAGTGTTATGTTACACTTAAACGAAGAGGTGGAAGTCGTCAAGGTAGAGAAAAGGATTCACGTTATAACCTTTTAAAGATTAACGCTCTCGAGATAGCTTCTGGTTACGGCACTTTCCTTGACTGGCATTGGTGTCAATAAAAAAAAAGTCCTTTCAAATGGCAGCCTCATACCAAAAAGCACCTAAAATTCGTGCGCTTTTCACGGACAGTTAACAGTCGAAAACGGCTGAAAGACACTAACCTCCTTAGAATAATTTCAAAATAGAGGGCACTTATTCAGGGCAATTTTCATCCACTTTACTGCGCTCTAAAAGACTTAGCGCTTTCTCGTGCTCGTACTCGTTTATGTGTATTTGTTCTTAGTAATCATTGGCTTGTTGTGAAGTTGTGAATATTTGGCTCCCCGTTATGAAGCACGGACCTCGCTGCACTCGTTCCGTACGTCATGACCTCAAGCCAAATATTATCCCGTCCGGCCCCCCCACTCAGTCAATAGGGACATTATATTTCACATCTTGTCCGTTTCTCAGGCGTGTAAAGGCTGTCTACGGTCCATCGCTCCTCTCATGGGCTCCGAATCTGTTAACAAAATGTTCCAAAAGCATTTGTTGGAAGAAGGACATCTTCATTACGGCGAGTTCATGAACGATCTCTCTAGACTTCTTGTAAGTACTGTCTTTTAATTCATCTCCAATTTCTTGGTAAAGTAAACGGTCTTCAAACTACGTCAAGCATATAACACCGTCGATTGGTGTATGTAAACGTCGAATAAGTTCGTTACCCTAAGACTTTCTGCTGTTGTTTCACAAGGTTGATTATTTGAATACCAGATTTTAGGGAGCATTTTACATGTTAAAATTACAGATTGTGTCATACCAGTTCAAACTTATTTCATAATTTTGCTCGAGAATATTTCGTTAGGAGATCGCTAGGAATCTAACCAGGGATCAATCGTTGCAAATGTGTTTCCTAAAAGATGCTCCGTAATGTGTTCAAAGTCTTGCCAGTTTCATCGACCTTATCTACCTTCCCTGTGTTGCAGGGTTAAAAATATTCACTCATCTTTTTTTGCCATGTAGATCAATCCTTACGGGGTAGTCACCTCTCCCGCGCTAGTCACCTCTCCCACGCTAGTCTCTAATGTCTAACATTCTTCTTTACCCTATAGATTGTTGATTTTCCTGATAAGATTAGTTTTTACGTGATGGGCTGCGTTTCATTCTATAAAAGTTCTCGAGATGACATCAAAGCGAATGCGGCGTTGCTCACTGGTGAGTGACCTTTCGTAATTTGAGGATACCGATTTGGAAGCCCCTGTAACAAATGTGTTTATTTAGAAATCTCTGGCATTCGGAAAGAAAAAACCATCCTCTGACAATAACCAAATTTTTAAGAAACAAATTACTCTAGGGAGGTATTTGGATTGGAGGGGCTTTAAGGGTATCTATGACTCCTTCCTTCCCCCTCTCATATGTCCAGAAATGCAAGCAGTGATGAAAATGGCAGATTTGACGAAATTTCGACAAACTAAGGAAACGTTCGAGGATTTGACGATTTTGATGAATTTCAGTCAAATTTATCAAAGCGAAATTAGCTTGGTGGAATTGATGATTTTGACGAATTTTCGCCATCTTCGGTACCGCATGCATTTCTGGACATACCCCAAGGGTTATGATTTGTAAAAGATGAACCACTGTGATATGGCACCAAATTCCAGTAAGACTATATTGGAGAACAACGCTTTTTGAATATCCAGCTTAGTTCCTTCCCCTTCCCATCCTTATTATATTCATCCCTAACTTCGCAGTCTCGTCTTTCTTGTTCTCTTTGTTGTTGTCCTGGTATTGGGGCATAGAGAGAAAGAACCTTTCGAGTAACGATAAAGTTTTATAGATAACGGCTGTTCCCCTTGGTCATAAATTTCAGGTTTTATTCTCGGTAACCTTCCTCAAGAAAGAAGAGATGAAATATCCAAAGACCATGTGTGTGGGGGTAAGAATTTTGATTTGCTTGAAAGCATTGATGGTATAGTGAAAATGATGAGCAACTTTGCACCTACCCCTCCTCTAACCCTAGATAGGGTTAATGTTGGGTTAGGGGAGGGGTAAGTGCGCAGTTGCTTATATACTGACACTGATCCGTGAAACTAATGCAATTTGTGTTTATTTATTCCGTTACAGCTCTGATTCTTTTGCTGAAAGATCCATCAGGTCAAGTGAGATGTAAAGCTGCCGAAGCAATGAGCTTGCTTTATGACTACTAAAAAAACTAACAATTATAGTGTTAAAAATAAAATGGATGAATTTCAAAGAAAAACAGATTTAATGAAATTAAGATCGTTTACTTTACAGGTTTACCTCGGAATATTTTGCGTAAACTGGTAAAAGAACGAAAATAAAGACGAGATTTATTAATTTTAATAAGATTTGGCCTCAGAAAGTGACCTTGCGAGACCACTGCCTTTTTCTTTACATTCAATGTGTCTTATCAGGTTTCAATTGCACAAGCAGTAGCAGCCATTTCCGCAATGTTCCCATCTAAAAGTCTTTGTACAGGTAAACAAGGTCGCATGCTGGTGACGGTTAGTGACTGCTAGGGCGGTTTCATTCGAGGAGACAACAAAATAAAGCATTCAAGCGAGTAGTTCACTATTCCTTAAGACTGTCTCTTTAGCTGTTTTGGTACACGTGACTAATTAAACTTTGGCATTTACTCCATGAGGTAATTTCGGAGTTTGGCCACAAGGTTAAAAGTCCGATAGTTAAGAATGCGGAGTACCTATTAGTCCACCCACCGGATACTAATATTGCAGTTCCTCAAAGGAACACTTTAATCATCTTAGACTGCATTAGATTGAAATTTATTAAATCGACTCGTCGCAATAATTTAGAAATTTGACAAGTTATAAAACCTTTTTTTGGATAGAATATAAAGCAGTTTGAGTAGACGTGGTTCAACACATAGGAAATAGATTTTTGCTCAAGTGAAAAGTTTCGAGGTTCCTATGAAAATTATACGAAATTATGTTTAAAAAAAAACCATCGCTAGTAAGTTTTTTCCCACTTGAAAAAGGATTTAAAGTCACACTTCCTTCCATGTCCCAGGTTTGGTTTCAATGGTCATAGAGTTGTAGAATCGTATGGTAGTTAGGACAAGATTTTAATGAGTTCCGATTAAGATAGTCAATAAATTTGTTTAATTAAATCTGTTTAGTTGCCTTTGTATTCAGAACTAACAGTTAAGGAAATTAGTATATACTACACACAAGTGAGTATTGCTATTCGCGCGCGCTGATTGGCTAGTTCGGAAGTGAATAGGAAGTATTATCACCTCCGAGCAGCCTATGAGACAAAATCATGCGTCAATAATTTAATTTTCTGACCATTTTACAGTATATTAAAAGACATAAACTAATTTTTTTGGTATCTGTAAGGTATATACTAAAACGATCATTAATTAAGTGTCGGTGAAAGTGGTGGATAATTATCCACCACTGTTCACCTCCACTTAGGTGAATAAATGATCAATTATTTCCAACGGTCTGAGGTACTTTGACTTCACCTCACTCTTGTATGTATGCCTAGTTTCTTTTTAGAATAGCAGGCGAGGTGCCAGCGGAGTAAGTTGTTTTTTAAGAAGGCAGCGAAGTAGCTCCTAGAAGAGTCCATTCCTTTCGCGACAGAAGCTCCTACAACGTCTTTCGTAACTTCTTCAGAAGTTTGAGCTTTCACTGTCGCTTGAGTTTCTAGAGAATTGAGAAGGTTGTCGGTACCTGGTGTTGAACTGTCCGTGAGTTTAAAGGAATAACAAAACTATAAAAAGAAATCACCGTGTACGATGAATTGTAATTAGACACACAATTCCCATTGATAGTTACTGTCAATCAAGATCAATAATTAGTCATGGTGATTACTAAATTTACTTTTCGTTACGAAAAGGAAAAACGTGTTACCTTTACAAGCAATTTTCTCTTTTATCGTGTTCTTACCGTTACTTTCAAGGATACCAACGCTAAGATTTATCAAAAGATTTATCAAAAAATTGTCATTATCTACAGCTGACTAACCGTGATCTTACACTATAGTTTTTTAACAACATCGTGAGGCCCATTCTCACTTTTTAAAGTCTGAATGAATTAAGTGAAGACTATCACAGAACCGGCTTAATCAGCGACAAAAACACGATAATAAGTTCGAAACGCTACTATTAAACAGAGACAAACAGCGAATTGAATTTGTCCAATGTCACGTCATTTTTCTACATTGATCTCAGTAGGCCACTCTTTTTTTATTTTGGATGTGTTATGTCATATGAGTTATATGCGAGACGGCCGAGATGTCTCGGCTCAAATTTTTAATATTCAAAGGAGAGTTGTGAAATCTTTGGCCCTATCTCTCCAATGCAAGTAAACTTGATATGATACATTTACTTATTTTAAGTTGGAAGTATCTTGAGCTTTGCTCATCAAATCAGCTTTCTCCTGCTTTTTTAAGTTAACAGTGACTCTGATCAAATACGTAACGATATCGAATTCGCTACTCACTACGAAGCAGTTCTTGATTCAGTTCCCCAGTATATAGTCCAACTGTACGCCATTAGCGTGCAAGCTGAGCAAGTTGCGATTTTTCAAATTATCTCTTTGCTTGTCTCATTATTAGCCTAGCTTGGGCGTTACAAGCGTTGACAAAAGGTCACAAGGACCCGTTAATGCCAACCTATAAGCAAAGCACAGAGCAGGACCTGGGTCAAGAAGAGATGCAACAGCAGCATCAAAAAGGAATCTTAACACTTTTCAGGTTCTGTACCCACTGGCTAAGGGACGATGTCATATATAGTTCAGGTAGGTCATAGGTAATCCTACTCTCTAATGTTATGTAAACGATGGAAAACTTTGGGATGATCTATTCTTACTATCGCAACAACCACTCAAACACTTAGTACTCGTTGCCCGCAACGGTCGTGATATATTCTTTGAGCGTGCTTTGTGCAATTTTGAGAGCTACTGTGTTTACTCTCTACTTAAGTAAAATACTATCAACCCAGAAACCTCGAATAGCGAAGCTTTTACCATTGACTCTAAAGGTGAATGACACTACTATTGGTTCAACGGCTAAAGTCTGCATCAATCTACACAGAATCTCGTGACTCATACAGAGGCCTACCAACCCTGACTTAGAAAGAAACTCCAAGGATCCCGCTTTCCTGTCTGAAGCAAATACGGAAATTATCTTACGGAAATTATGGCATATTTACCTCATGAAATGACGTACGGTAAACAGCATTAACGAACTATTCAAGAGCTTACATACAGAGAAATGGGGTAAAACGTGAAAAAAAAGAAAAAAAAGACGCAAACAGTAACAAAACGGGACAGACATAAGTCACCATTTATTTAACTTCTTATTATGTTGTGAAAGGCAGTAGAAAATAGCAAAGTATATATTTAAAAATAAACTTACAGCGCCGCGGTCCTCTTTGCCGTACGGGAGTTTAGAAATAGTCGTAAGGTTTCACTTCGGTGATCACATTGGCAAATCTGTTGTCAGTTCCTCTTTGGTTTGCTTCCATCAGGTTCCACTTTGGTGTTTTTAGCGCCATTCTCACATTGGTCTTACTGCAGTCAGTCTTTGCCATTTCAAAATAACTTAGATTTGCGGAAATGGTTTTAAAAACTCGAGAAGATATTGATACCTAGTTTCCATACATACTTACATACATGCTTTATTTAGCGTGGAAAAACACGATTAGCTTGTGACCGCTTAATACAGGTTTGCCGCTTTATACAGACTAGAGGTATTGTAAAAGATGATACACAACGCCACTTTATGCCATAGTTGACCGTTTAATATTAATGTACCCAAAAAAATACTTGAAAGATTATTCTTAGTTTTATTTGAGTGGTCCACTTTAAGTGACTGTTTAAAACAGGTGGGAGACAATACAAACAGGCTGTTGGGACTTTATAAAGAACGACCTTAATACAGATTCGAGCGTACATACATTGTAGCGAAAACTGTGGCTGCCAGTCACTAATTTCCGGAACTACTTTAAAAGTCATTTGAGCCAGGCGCCGCACGGATATCATCAGGTGATGCGTTCCATTGCTTTGTTGCAGTATAACGCCACGACTTTAGTCCATATCTGATAATGTTTACTTTACTGAGGTACAGGTAGATTTAAATTTCCCAAAAGGTCAGCCGTTGTATTCTTTACATTTGTTAGGCTATTGAAACTCGGTGGGGCTTTGACAAATGTTGGAGCTTAAAGATCCTATATCATGGTCTCTGGGCAAGAGCAATCATGCCCAGAACCAGATGCAAGGCCCTAATGGCCATGTTGATCCCGCTGAAGAAGATATATCCCATAAGTTGCGTAAAGTCGAGTCATTTATTGATTATTTTAAATCTTGGTGTCTTGCCTTGTACCAGCCCAGACAAAATTTAGCTATTGATGAGCGGATGGATAAGTCTCGCCACAGGTCTGGTATACGACAGTAAATCAAAGACATGCTCGCCAAATGGGGTATCAAATTGTGGGTTTTGGCAGACAGTTCAAATGGCTACACTGTAGACTTCAATGACCACGTTGGTAGAGCCGCAGGGCAGAAAACTAGTGAATTTAATTAGGTTATGATGATGGTTATGATGCGACTTTTGGCCTTTTCTAAATCAGGGTTACCATTTCTATGTCAATAACTTTTATAAATCGGTCCCATTGTTCAAAGATTTGTTTGCTCAGGGAGTCCTTGCCACTGGTACCATCCTGGAAACCAGGAGAGGCTTTCCAGCTGCGTTCAAAAAGAGTAAGGAATGGGCTAAGGGGAAAAAAAGGGTGACATGCATTGGGAAAGGATCCTCCTCTTTTGGTACTTCAGTGGGTGGATAACAAAGTAATTTCAATGATATCAACTATAGAGAAAGTTAATTACCATGGTCTGCTCAACAGGAAAAGAAAGGTGGATGGTGTGTGGGACACAAGGGAAATATCACAATCTAAAGTTGTAGCTAATTGCAATAAGTTTATGAATGGGGTTGACCGATCTGATCAAATTCTAACCACAAATAGTGTACCACGTAAGTCCACGAAGTGGTGGGAAACTTTTTTTTACCACCTAATTGACATGGCTGTAGTCAATAGCTTTAGCCTTTTCAAAGAGCATAGGGCTTAGTTTCCTGACGATGGTGCTCTAAAAAGGCCCTCTAATTATTCCTTGGGTGATTTCCGGGAAGAAATTGTTAGGCAACTCTGTGGTTTATCCGATTATGGTAGTTCACCCGAGAATACCACGGTGAAATCACCCCCTTCCGCCCCAGAGGAGTTTACAACTGTCCATATCCCAGTTTCCTCTGATACTCAGAGACGCTGTGCGGTATGTTATAAAGAGGATAGGGGAGATTTTGGGGTTCGATCTTATTGTAATGCCCCGGCTCAATATCAGAAGTATATTCATGTTAGTAAGGGTTGGGATTGTTTTGCAGTGTTTTATTCTAAGAAGTTCCATAGCTAAATTTTTGGTGTACCATATTTCCCATAATTATAACATTTTGCTAATGTTTTTTCCAATGTTTTCTGATATTGTTTCTCAAAAATATATACAAAAAAAATTTAAATTTAAAAAAAAAAGTCATCTTTTTTATACTTTGCTGCTTTTTTCTTTGTCAGAGAGAATAGTTGTGATTTAGTCCTAGTTCTGAGGACTCTCATTAGTTAGAAGGGATGTTAAAAAGGCTAATTCATTCACTTAGTAACACATCAGAACCCACCCACCCTCCTGATAAAAAGTTGAATTTCCCCCCAAACATTTTTTTCTGCTAATTTTTTTGAATGACATGACGCACATGAAAATTCATAAAAAATTCATAAAAAATTCATAAAAAATTCTTTTTCTATTAGATTTTCAGGAAATGTTGCTGACAAGTTAACAATCTTTTTTTTTTTTTATCAATTAATCTTAAATAACCTATGACTATGAGGAAAAGTGACTTTGACCTCAATTTTTACACTATTTCTTACTTATTTTGTCTTTTAAATTTTATTTATCAGGAAAGTTCTGGGTTTCGATGATGAAATTTATATTTTCCTAAGAAGTCCATTTTATACACTTTAAAATGAGATATTGTAGGTGTTATTGCTGTAAATATTTGTTGAGATATAAATTAAAAACTGGATGTGGACAATTCTTGCGTTTTTTCAGCTGCAAATAATCAGTTCAGTTTACTTCAGATGGTACTCCTCTCATTTTACAAGACTAGTGAAGTAAATGAATTGTATCCTCGGTCAATCTCGGTCAATCTGTTATAACAGCACAAATGTATTACCAATTTACGAAATATGCCTTTACATCCAAAACTGGTTTGCCTTCTTTCTTTCCCATATCTGTGCTACAAATCCTGGAAGGTTTTTCGGCATTTTTATCTCTTTTGAGTGATATCTGCCTCATGAAAAATGAATATTTCAAACTTGAGTTCATTTCAAAGGT